GCAATTTCCAGGGTGGTTTCCGCACTTCCAGGTCTACTGTTGACCACCTGGTACGTCTTGAGACGACGGTCCGCGAGGCTTTCATAAATAAGCAATTTTGTCTGTCTGTATTTTTCGACCTTGAAAAAGCTTACGACACCGCCTGGCGGTACGGCATACTCCAGGACCTTATCTCTATGGACATAAAAGGGAGAATGTTCAACTGCATTGCTGACTTTCTGCAGGATCGTAGCTTTCAGGTACGCCTAGGAGCTACAATCTCCGACCCTTTCCCCCAGGAGAATGGCGTGCCGCAGGGCTGTGTCTTAAGCGTCACTTTGTTTATTATAAAGATAAATTCTCTATCTCAAGTAATTCCGCCCACAATCTCTCATTCTCTTTACGTCGACGATGTCCAGGTTTGTTTTTCTTCATGTAACTTAGCCATCTGTGAGCGACAAGTTCAACTTACGGTGAACAGGATGAGTAGGTGGGCTGACCAGAATGGCTTCCGGTTTTCTGCCGAGAAGACTGTAGCTGTTTGTTTTTCTCGAAAACGAGGAATGTCTCCTGAGCCATCATTGTATATTAAAGGTACACCCATTCCGGTTAAACCGGAGCATAAGTTTTTAGGCCTAGTATTCGATAGTAAATTAACTTTTGGCCCACATATAAAGGAACTAAGATTAAAATGTCAGCGAAAGTCGAATCTTCTTAAGGTCCTTGCACACCGTTCTTGGGGTTCCGACCGTGTCTGCCTTTTGCGAATCTACAGGGCCTGTGTTCGCTCAGTTTTGGATTATGGAAGTATTGTTTATGGTTCTGCCAAACCCTCTACACTTAAAATGTTAGACCCAATCCATCACCAGGGAATCAGACTGGCAACCGGAGCCTTTCGAACGTCCCCCGTGCCCAGCTTGTATGCCGAGTCAAATGAGTGGTCGCTTGACAAACATAGATTTTATCTTAGCACGCAGTACTATTTAAGACTCCGTACTCTTCCACAGCACCCAAATTTTTCTTTGATTGAAAGCATAAAATATGAGCAGGCCTTTCAAAACAAGCCATCCGTAACGCGTCCCTTTGCACTTCGTGTGAAGGATGCTGCTGCGACTTATAGTTTTGACATATCTTGTTCTGTCATGGAAACTGAACAAAGACTTGCTCCTTGGGACGACCTAACTATAACATGCGACCTCTCTTTGACAAAATACAACAAGAAAGTGGCAGCCGCTAGTGTTATAAAACAAGAATTTTTTGAGATTGCTAGTCGTTACGAGACGGACAAAAGTTTTTTTACTGATGGGACGAAAGGTGCTGGCTATGCTGGCTGCGCTGCAGTTGGGCAATCCTACCATCGTGTTATTCGAATTAATGCCAATGCATCTGTGTTTACAGCTGAGCTTCATGGACTCTTAGTGATTGTAGATGAAATAATCAAACAAAATACAGATTATCTGTGATATTTACAGACTCGCTCAGTTCCCTCCTTGCCCTTAACTCTGCAACATCCTGGAAGCATCCCCTGGTTTGTCTGCTTCGTGTTAAACTAATGAATGCTATAAAGCAAGACATCTCTATTCACTTTTGCTGGGTTCCTAGCCATATAGGAATACACGGCAATGAGGAAGCCGACCGAGCCGCAGGTGCATGTGTAAACAGGTCCATTGAAATTCATACCCTCCCAGTGAGAGATTATAGAACCACACTACGAAATAAAATAAAGATTCTTGGCAAGCAGAGTGGGACTCTGACCCCCACAATAAGCTATACAAAGTTAAACCTGTTTTGAGTGAATGGCGCAGCGCCAGACATCGAGAAAGGTTCTATGAGGTCATCTTATGTCGACTGAGGATAGGCCACACACACCTGACTCACAGCTACCTTCTAAGAAACGACGACCCACCGATGTGTGACTACTGCTCAGAAACTTTAAGTGTACTTCACATCCTTTTAGTTTGCCCACAATTTAATAACGAACGCCGCTCCTACTTTTCTATCTTTTTCAGAAAACAAATCCCTTTCCACTTGGCACTTTTACTTGGAGACGAGCCCGTTACTCCGTATAGACAAGTTTTTAACTTTTTAGAAAAGTTTAATATTTTACATCGACTTTAAACTACAATCTTGTTTAAGTGATATTTGATATTTTGACCCACTGCAATAGTAAACATTTAGTCTTGTGATATTTACTTACCCTGTGATTGGCGCACTATGGCCTATGTTGCTGCTGCGCCAGGAAACTCAAAATTCATTCATTCATTCAGTGATCATACGTGCATAACCATATGCAAGATGCGATCTTAGGCAAGCTTGCACCAGCATCGCATGTGGATGCTCATGGTTCCAGCATCTCCAAATTGTAAATTAATGCATCATTTTTTTTCTTTATATTTACATCATTTGGATTGACAGTGCCATCAGTAATATGGAAGCAGTGCAGATATAGCCGAAATAACAATTTATTCTTGGGGTAATTTTATTGCTCAGCCACACACTTTAAAAATGAAAGTCGTAGGTGCCTGCCATTTTGTCTTTTCTATATCAAAAAAGTTTATCCTGAATCACCTGTATTTGGAGCTCCTCGAGACTTTTTTAATCCGAGCTTTATTTTGTCTTCAAAAGAGCAGAAAGCAATGCAATTGTTCTGTAGTTATCAACACGCATGGAGCCTCCAGATTTTTGTACTAGTATAACCAAAGCAGTTTTCTATGCCGAAGGAAATGTACTTGTTTTTAAGGATATGCTAAAAATGTGATGCAGTGCTAGAGCTAAGATATCGAAGCACCCTTTAACGAGAAAGGCCGGGATCCCATCTTCCCCACAGGACTTTTTTGGGGCAAGTTCTTTTATGGCCGAGACCAAGTCATCAATAGTCAATACAGGAATTGACATCAGAAAGGGATTTTCAGAACACAGGGTTGCATTGTTGGACTGAGGGAGATAAGGGTTTCCTGTTCATGAAAAGTGTTTTGCAAAGAGATTGCAGGCACTCAATGAGTCAGAGACATGGCCTGTCCAAGTCTTTAAAGCTATGGTATCAGCTCTACTGGATGTCCTACTATATCTAACATATTCCTAGAGGCGGTTGAGAATATGTCGGGAATATAAAGGGGGGTGGACACATACTTGAAGTAGACTAAGGATCAAGACGAATGAAACTTGAATTCCGACTGCTTAAAAATAACAGAAAACGTGCAGACAAGCTGGTGAACTTTCAACATCTTGGAAACGGGGAATTGAGGAATAACAAAGGGGTTGAGACACACAAAGGTCTCAAACTCTGTGGCAACATTTATTCCCCCATCATGGTTTATAAGGAAGAACCACAACCGACACTCAGATGTGCGATGTCAGTCATCATAACACCAAAACTCTTCAAGGTGTCTATGCACACTAATCTTCAACCATTCACAGCCTTAAAATGTGTGCAGAACCAGCCAGCCCAGCTCAGCCTGATCATCGCCTCATAGCTATTATTTCCTGCTCAAAACTACAATGACAGGCAACGACATCTGGAAATCCTTTACCTCTTACTGGGTACTGTCAGGTTCGAATGGAATGCGAACAGTGATGGAACTTCCAGCGCACCACCAGCGCAGCGTCGAAGCTTGGGTCGTGCTGGGTGAGGGTGAAACAGATGGGAGTAGAACGCACAACCTCGCAGTGGCCTACTCTCCACCCTGCAGGTTTATCAGTTTGCAGAGACCTCCAGGAGTTGCAGCATAAATCGATAACCACACGCTCCAGTGTTCGCATTTCATTCAAACTACCAAAATATCTCGCCTCTAGTAATTGGTATTTACTAGATTGTTGCGTCGCCGTGGTGTAGCACTATTTGTGCTATTGTAAGTGCAAGCTCGAAACCCAGCTCGCACCTTTTCTGCTGTTCGTGTTGTTCAGTTCCAATGTTCTGATCTGTGTTTTCATTAAACCTAAACGAAGCCTCGTTGCTGGCGAGGTTTGTGCTGGCAGACCTCAGCAGCTATTCATCTTCTGTTGCCCTGTTAGCCGGCTGCTCTACCTGGCCCTTACTCGATACCTCCTGCTGCCAACTACCAGCTTGATCGTTGAGCCTCCAAACCACCAACATGGATGCCTCTCCATGAAAGAATCACTGCACTGTCTACATTTAGTTACATTTCTACACAACACTACTTTAAGCCAGATTTCTACGTAACATGAAGAACAGAAAATTAAAATAAACTTGGTACCATGAACCTTGCCTCCCTGGGAAAATTCTAAACTGGAATTAACTATCCTAGCTACCCCTGGTAGCACAGATGGCTCTGCTGACATCCTCAGGATGACCCTACGTCCCACATAGGGCATCTGTGCAACCCGGAACCATATTGTAAGTTTGCAGTTGTTCCATGAGCTCCCTTGTTTTTTCTTTGGTTGCACTCTAGGCTGTATGTGTTAGCTTTGTTCTTCGGATCAATATCCGCAAGACATACGTGGAACATTGGGACACGCTGCCAGGTGTGGCCAGTACGGTTCCAGCGACATCGACCTTAAGGGTGGCTGTAGGCAGTACTAAAGGTCGGGCACACAGAAAAGTGATACGAACCCCCTTTCTATAAGGAAGACTTTTCTCTCCTGCTTCTGAAACCGGGCAGACGAGGCCATTTCTTAGCGTGACCGTTTCGCACCACCTAGATAATGAGCTCGTAGTGCTGAATTATCGTCGCCTAAAGAGGCAAACATGGGGCATGAATTCATCACGAGTGCTGCATCAGCTTTCGGTGGAGACTTGTACTCAATTGGTGACGATATGAGCCTCAGCCAAACTCTGATGCAGCACTGGTCTCTTTCCTTTCCTGGTGCGCTCAAAAATGGTGTCCTCCAGTGGGGGGGGGGGGGGGGGGGGGGAGGTGAAAGAAAAATATTTGAGGATGAGGCTGTTGGCAAGGTTAAAGCTGAGTACATTGGATCGCGTAACTTTCAGCAGTACCGTCTCGCAGGACATTGCAGTGGCATCCATGACTTCACATTGCTGTCTTTTTGGTGGTGCGGCCTAGGAGGCGATGCAGGCTGTTGGTCCTGCTGGTCCTGCTTGGCTATGCGGTGGTTTTTGAGTGGCTGGTCTACCTGGTGCACCCGCTGTGGAACTGGCCCCGCCTTCCCGCCCACAACGAAGTCAGCGTGCGTCTGCTCCTGGTCGCTGATCCCCAGCTTCTGGGGAGGGGGAACACCGCCCCCGGTTCCCTGGGCTACGTCGTGCGCTGGGACGCAGACCGGTGAGGAGGGAGGGTCCAATGGCCTCTTGTCGCTGCCAGGCTGCACCCATAGGCCTTTCCCGAAGTTCAGCCTTGCAACTTTGATTGCTATCATTGTCTTAATGTACGGCATTTGTGCCGTTCATGGCCTTCTGGTGGCTCATGACGTTGACAATGCTCCAAGGCGGAGGACGCTTGGTTTGTACGTTCGAGACAGCGGCACGGGGCAACGCATGAATTAATCTTGAGCGTCGCATTAGCGTTTATTTCGGACTCGGGTCCAGTCAATCTCTTGGGCACAAAGTCGGCTAAGCCCCTTGATGATGGGAATTTTATAAAGGAATTCATAAATTGGCACTGTGTGCCGGAAATATTTTTTCACATTAGTATTGAAATTTAAATAAATTGAGAAAGAAGTGACAGTGCCGATTGCAGGAGTGACAGTGCCCATTACATACATTTTAAGGTTGTCATTAGTATGGCAAAAGTTGAACTGCCGTTTGAGTCATCAGATGGCACACAATTTTTGAAAAGGGTCTGTTGGGATCGGTTGGCGGAACAGACCTTACATCCCTTGTACAATTAAAATTTTACTTTGTAAGGTGGGTTTGTAGACAGAGAGTTGTTTTTGTGTGTCGGCAATTCCTTTATATCGATGCCTCAAGTGCCTGCCAGCGTACAAGCATGTGTCAATTATTTTTTTATATTACTGTAAAACTCCAAGCATGCATTCATTTCACGATAAGTGCCCACACACTACTTTTGAAACATCAGAAAAAGAAACAATGTTATATCAAGCACTCATCCCAGACTTCTGAGCCGGCCTGATTAACCGGGACGCTTGTCTGCGTCAGCTGCTTCTCCAAGCACGCAGATGCAAAACAGTGAAGCTTACCCTGTGCGCAATGGTGCCAAGCAGTGAAGCTTGACACACGCTTATCGGCGCAAAGTAGTGAAGCGCTCTACTTCGTGCCCCCTTCTGCATTTTTGCTCTCTGATGTAGCAAGTGCCCATGCCCTAGTTTTAGAGATAATTTTGCAATTTTGGGCAGGTTCTTGCTTGATATTTTATACAATGTACCAGAATCTTTTTATAGTGAAGTCGGTTCTCTGTTCCATCTCTGCCAGAGCCGTATTAGAAAGAGTTTGGTCAATGGGAGGAGCGGGCAGAGCCAGGGCATGCACCAGATGCAAAAAGTGGGTTTGACGTGCTCTCTTAACCAACCAGAAGTCGAAAATAACCCCTAGCGGTGGTAGTGAGATACTGTTTTAATGAGCGTGTAAGAGTTAAATGTAGTAACTCTTTATGGTTTAAATAGTGGTGCATCTGATGTTTCAATTATGATCGTACAAAAAGATCTAAGAATCGAATGTGTTGCTCGAACTCTGTTTTGCTCAGACGAAGTCTGATTGCTCGGACGGCAGATTCCCGGCCCTCGGTGCCTGGCATGTGGATTACATTGATCGTTCTGCTATATTTTTATTTTTCATGATCGTTATCAAAAAGATCACATGTACTATATTTTCAGTCACGCAGAGTTATTCCGACACACTTAAGTTTGTTTCTCATGACCACCTCCAGGGTATTATTTCCGGCTTCTGGTTGGCCACATCTGAGGCCCCATTTTTGTGGCACGGGGGAGGTTGGCAGATGGCAGGCATTCCCAAAGCGCACTTTCAAAATGCTGCTGCTCTCCTTCGGCCATTTCTCAACCATGCGTGCCTGATGTATTCGCAGCACTACAGCACCGCATGTGGTGATTTCACTACTCCAGCCGTCAATCACTTGTGCTAGTCTCTTTTAGCGCAGACTGTACGCCAGAAATATTTGTTCAGGATGACTTTGCCTCCGACACCAAAGTTACTGGTTAACAAAGTTACTGGAAAGTTTTATCAGGTACAGATGATAAATGGAAAGCATCAAGATTGTTGCTTTCCTTTATTCTTGTAACATTACTAGCACTCTTTAATTTGCTGAGGATACAAATGAACATACATACTAGTAATCTCTTTTCCATATCCTGGCCCTTTTCTGTATATTTTGCAAAGCATATTTTAAATATACAATTAAATTTTCTTGCACAAGCCAGTCTCTTTTGGCAACTTGCTCTATATTAATGAATGTTACTGATCAAGGAATACTGATGTTGTTAGTAATTTTAATAAATGTCAGTGACATTTGCTCTCCTCCTTCAACTTCTCTAGGAGGTACTTTGTTCTGCTCTTTCACACAGTTAATGTCTTAACGTGCCCGTGATAAAATGAACTAGCATGCTACTTCCTGTACTTTTTTTCTGCAATTGATTTTTGGGTGCCACAGTTTTATTTGTAATCCTATCTAATTAGATTTATAGCAAAAGCCTAGACATGACCTGCAATGGAGCTCAATATAGCCAGTGGCCCTTGTCAAGTGCAAGAGATTTGAGGGTGTCTAAGGACAGCAAGATGTGTGTGTGTGTACCGCTTGAAAGAGGTCTGGGCGGATCGGTGACCGAACGGGCTAACGCACACCAGTTCGGAGCTTGTGGAGCAAAAGATTGTGCTGCAGAACCCAGGGATCTTGGGTTCAATCTCCACCCCTGCCCATTTCGATCTGGATGAGCACCGTACCAGTGTGTGGTTGTGTATCAGTACTGCGTGATGCAAAGGCTAGTAGTCTTACTGCACTGGCTAAATTTCTCATCTCCTACGAAACCAGTGTTGTCGCATTTGAAAAGCAGACTGACCTTATGCTGTATAAACATAAATAAAAAACATGAGACAACCGAAAAAAAAAAAAAGTGGATTTAGACGCAGTGGCATCACTAGGGTCAGCGGCATACGGGGCGGTGGCCCGCAGCGACACCCCCCCCCCCCCCCGGTTCGTTGCCCGCCTCAACCCCCCCCCCTCCACCGCTCGTCGCACTCCGCAATACCCCCCTCCGCTCGCCACCCGCCACGACTTCCCCCCTCCCTCCCCTTCTTGTGGCCCGTTGCAACAATCCCCGAAGCGCTGCACCCGAGGCGGTCCGTCCCCCCTGCACCCCCCTTGTGACGCCACTGTTTGGACATTTGCTTGAGGTAAATTCACATATACTTTGTATCTTCTAGCCAATTACGAAGAGTAAGGTGAACAAATAGTAAGTACTTTCACTGGTGTGGGCACCAGTTTGTCGTTTTACGATAGCCTTTAATTAAGAGTTGTCTCGACACACGCATACTGATGGCTTGTGAATGCACCTAAAGGCAGGCTTGAAATTTTACTGCCTTAGGCGGTCTTAAAAGAGCAGCCTCTTCCTCCCCCTCCTTTTTGTTGTGCAAAAAGATATGCTTTACGTAAAAATTATATTTAAAAGCATGCCACATTTCAACTAGATACTGCGAGAAATTTTGGCCTAGTGTTTGGTGGATTCTTTTTGGTGTAGGAATGATAGAGGAGACAAAAATTTATCTTTCTGGCAAATCTGAGAAATGGCATAAATAAACGACTTGAGAATTTATATTGTATATAACCCAAGACAATATTGTCACAAATGAGGGCGATGTGAGGATGAACAGTGAATTGAAAACAAAGTTTTAATCAGTGAAATTCTGCTGAACAAAATAAAAAATGAACGTCGAAAGAGCAGAAAAGCAAGCAGCGATTTGGTGGTGTAACTGCAAGCAAGAGCGAGGCTTACTTGATAAGGTCCAGCGCATCTCCTTATCTCCTCCCCCCCCAAAAAAAAATAAAAGTGTTACTGTTATATTATATGTTATGGTTCGTGTTTACCACGGTTAATACACAACGTCCCCCTCCTTATGCTATCGTAGGAACCAACTTTTTGGCAGAAGCCCTTCTGGCAGTGGGAATCTTTTGCGACGTGAACATGATGGTAGTAGTGGCTTCACAAATTAGGCTGGTTCACACGGCATTGTTTTCTTACATTACACGTAAGTCTCCGAAATATTTGTGTCGCAAATGTCGCGTGCCAAGCTATCTCTTTAAGCCGGTAGCCACGCCTAATATGAAGCACAAACCTCGCAGCGACTTTTACGTAAGCTTTTGTAACGTAACGTAACATCAGATTACAGGTCCGTGCGAACAAGGATTTAGTCAAGTTGCGAACTGAACCTTTCAAAGCCCCAGGTTTTGTGTTTCCCAGAACATTGTTGGATGAGAAAAGCTAACTTTAATTGGGGAGACATGTTCTAGTTATGTAATTCAGTTGTCTTCAAATGGGCTTTTGCAGATTCTTTGGTGTCTGCAAAGGCATTTTTAGGGCCTATGAAACCCTTCCCTGTCAGCAAGCTTAGCAATAAAGCTCTTATGTAAATAACAATAAAATGAGTCTTTTTTTTGCTTTAGCTATTACCATATTTGTTTGAATGTAGGTTGCCACTTTTTTCTGGCATCATTCTTTAAAATTGGGGGTCGTCCTATAGCTGACCAAGAAAGATGAACCTCTAGCGGTGGGCAAAACTTCAGACCCCCTGCTTCAATTACTTTTCCAAGGATGCCGGCGAGAAGCTCGGCGCGTATGAAGCTCGACGCAGCACGAGTGCCACGGCTCGGAAGCACGCAATTGATTGCTCTGGAAGTCAGAACGATGGCATGGCCAGCAAGCTAGGGCGACTAGGCTCGTTGCGGAACACATACTTTTTAATTCTTTAAAAATCGGAATCGACCTATATTTCAGTTTTTTTTTATCAGCAGATTTTTATGAGAAACGTTGTGAAGAACCGTCACAAGGAACTGCCACGAAAGACCGTCACGAAGAAAGTCACGTGACATCATGTCGTGCGACACCCTGTTGTCGCGTGACTGTGACGTTACATGATTGTGACGTCACAGCTACCCCATAGCATGTGCCCAGCTCATTCACACAGATTCTATGCTTCTTTTTCTTCGTCAGCATAATCAAACTGGCATAAATTTATATTTTCGTTATTCTCGGCAGGGTTTCCCGGGTTAGACGTCGACCTAGATTCATGCTCTACCTATATTTGGGTAAACACGATAGGTCCGTTATTTTATTCTGATGCTACGTCGTAATCACCCCGGAAACAGCAGTTGTCAAGAAGTTTGGATGTAATTGATTGGTAACATGCTTTCTTGGTTGCGGTGTATTTCTTGAAGTCTTGGCGCATGTTCTTTACCTCGGTCAAACCAAGGCTGCAGGGGTGTCGAAGGAGTTTGGGAGATGGGGAGGGGGGGTGGAAACAGAGGGGAGAGGGGAACTTGCCCCCTCCTGTTCCGATGCCACTTCGTGGCTACCGCACTCACTTTGCTGTGCGCTTTGTCTCGGTTCCCACCAGGTTCATCCGCAAGACGCACGAGCTGGCCCACTACTACTTCAAGCCAGACATCACCATCTTTCTGGGGGACATTTTTGACGAGGGCGAGATCGCCAACGACAGGGACTACTGGTCCTATGTGCAACGGTTCCTGAGCGTCTTTTCTTCCGTCAGGTTTCATCAGGTCAGGAGAGGCTACCCCAGCCCCTAGTATATGTTGGCAGCAAAGCACTTTAGAAAGACGCGACACACCCTGTTCGTACGGCTAATAACCGAAGGTATAGCCGGTGGCATATAGGTATATGCAACCGGTTTATTTCGATTTCGACGGGAAAAAAGGTTGCTCAATATTTACAACAATGTTACCGTGACTACTGGAAAAATGCCAAGCGTACGCCTGTTTCAGAATAAGCAGCCACTTGCTTCTTTTGAATAAGCAGCCACCTAGATAAGCGGGGCGCTTCCTTGCGTCAGCTGCTCCTCCGAGCACACTGGTGCGAAGAGAAGCTTATGCACAAGCACCGGTGCAAAGTGGCAAAGCTTGACGGTGCTAAGCAGGGAAACCCCCGCCATCATGTGCCCTTTCTGCATTCTTGCTCTTTTCTTTTTTCGAGACTATCTCCACATTTTGTTTGGATACATGCTCGGTATTTTACAGTAGATGCTTTCTCCACTACAGCAAGGTGGTATTCAATTAAAAATGGTTAAGCTTTAATTACTGGTTAGACACCTGACCAATGAACTGGAGATTCTTCAGCAGCAAGTCAGAATCAAGCCAGTTAGCGCTCTTCTTTCACTCAAACAAATTGTTCGTTGAAGGAACCTTCTCGTTCTTACCTTCTTGCCTCAACAACTTGCTCTCCATGGTCAAATAGGACACGAAAAGAAATTAGCCGTCTGGTAAACTATGCCTTCCCAGTAGACATTGTGCACGGCGACTATCACAACTCAACATGGCGAAACAGAAAGTAAAGCGTAAAACTTTTGAGAGAGCGGGCAGTAAGGTTGACTTTTGCTGAGGCTTCCGCAGTGTTCGAACACCAATTTCTTTTCATTTGATTGCATTTGTTGTGCCTAAAAGGCATCTAGCGATGCATTAGATGCATTACGATGAAAGTATTGAGAGGCCTGGTGTGTTAGGTAATCCCCAACTGCCAGATCACTCGCTCCTCATACGACCTGGCGTAGGGTGCATGCGGCTGGTACAGTCTGTTAGTTATGCTACTGATCACCTGACAAGGGAAGGCATTGCTGGTCAGGTGTTACACAAAGGAGGCGAGACCGCTTGTATCATGCGCGGTGGAGAATGACGGTTAAGTGCAGCATGCTTATTAATTTGCTATTGGTATTAGGTGTATGTTTACGTCCAGAACCAACTTGAAAAGGACAAAGCTTTAAGAAATGCTTTCTCCTCTTCTTGTTCTATCAAGAAAGTGTGGATCCATCAGCTGTGGCCGAGCAATATTCACACACACCGAGAACTTTAGTCTGCGTTCATGCGAGATATCAAGGAAGTCCCTGTTATAGTTTGATTCTAGCTAAAACACTTTTGAGAGAGAAGTGAAAGACTATCAAAGTGCTCTAGATGTGCAATGTATTTTCGAAAAAGAAATTGCTATAGCGTCTAGTTCTTTAAAATGGACTATGGCGAATGCTGCGAGTCACCTGAGCTGATCCAGTGTCATATGAGCATGCCACATGACTGTAGTGCCTGTATCGCATGCTCAACCGGTGTTCTTGCCACATATTTATTTTATCCGCTCAATTTCTGCATGTTGACTTCACAACGATGCATTATCAGGTACTGTCCAAAAAGCATATATGGGATCTGAAGCTCAAATTATTTTTTGTGTAGCACTTATACTAGCATTAATGTGTATGCTGTTGTGTTGCATGTTAAAAAAAGGGAAAAAATATTTTTTTAGCCAGCTCTTTTCCTGTGGGCACTTACTTGATACCATCCATTTCCGTCATTCCCTGATGAATTCCTTCTTTCACTCGTTCTTTTTCGTTCTTACTGTTACTAGAGTCGATGTCACAACAGTTGTCGGAGATAATAGGATTTTTTTTTGGCAGTCTGTGATTGTGCCAGGTGACAACGACATTGGCGGGGAGGTGACCGCACCCCTGGAGAAGCGAATTCGGAGGTTCAACTCCTACTTTCGCAACGATTCCATCACCACTTATGGTGGGGTTGATTTTATCAAGGTGAGTTGGTTTTTACCTTCAATATATATATAAATGTGAAGGCATCAGTAATGTCAGTCTATGTGTCGGAGGGCTTCATCTTGGTTTGCAATGGCTATTGGAGAAATAATTAAAACTGCTTATCATTGCATTGCATATAGGCAGTGTATTCCAGAGAGGTTTCTGAAAGGTGCAAATCAGACAACTGTTTTTTTGTTTTTTTTTGCTTTTTTGGGGGCTAGGGGGGGGGGGGAGTAAGATTTTAACAACAGTTTTAACAGCAAATTTTTAAAAACTGCTTTGAGGTGAGTACTCTATTTTTTTTCTCTTTAGTTTGTTTGTTGAGCTGAGAGCATGCAACCACTTGGACTATTTTTGTTTTGTTTGTTTGTTATCTCACATACCTGTCATAGTGATATACTTGGTTTTTGAGATTGTTCCTTCGTTAATTTAATGATCTGGTTCTTCCCATGCATGCAGTTTGTGTTCATCCAAACCAAGTGGCAAAAAAATGCAAAATAAATGTACTGTAAAATCCTGAGCAAGTGCCCACTCAAAATTTTGAGATAATCATCTAAAACTGGGGGGATGGGTGCTCTTTAGGTAACAATATGTGAAGATGTGTCCTTTTTGTATTTTCTGAATGTGATAAAATTGAGTGGTGGACATTTGTGGAATGTGCAAATGCTCGGTATTTTACGTTAATCAGGCTAAAAATGTAGAAATTCCTAGGAAACAGTATGCCATGTGCAAGCTCAGTTTAACTGAAGGCTCCCGGTTTTGCAGCTGTTTCAGGACATCCTGGTAGGTGGCTCAAGGAGCATTTCTGTGTATCTTTTTATTATTGTGCCAGAGGAATCCTTCCGTTATATTAATTCAGTGAACTCTGGGGAGCATTGCATCGTACATCAAGAAGAAGCAATGCATGACCATAGATAACGACACATTGCCTATGCTGCTTCAAACAGGAATGTGAATGGGACAGAGCTACACTATGCATGCCATAACAGTAAAGTTTATCAAGTAGTATTTTATGGTTGATGTAATCAAAAGCCTCGCTAAAGTCCATAAATGTTTCAAAAGTAAACAACCTATTTTTTTTATATATATATAATTTCTTTTTGTTGAAGCAACGCAGACTCTGTTGACCTTCCATTGCAGAAACCAAATTGAAAATTTTATATTAGCGTGCTTAGCAAAAAAAAAAAAGGAGTCTAGGCATTTCAAAATAATTGTTTCCAGCCCTTTAGAAAAAAGGAGTATAGGCCTATAGTTAGTTAGTGTATTTCTATCTTCTTCTTTAAAATCACTGAAACTTTAGCTAATTTCATTTTAGAGCGCAGCTCTTAGGCGCACATTTCTGGCTTGAGCGGCGTCGCCATCGCTGTCGGCGTAACCGTGAGATCGTGGCCCCCGCGAGGTCGCGTGACCCCCGCGAGTTCGCGTGACCCCCGCGAGGTCGCGTGACCCCCGCGAGGTCGCGTGACCCCCGCGAGGTCGCGTGACCCCCGCGAGGTCGCGTGACCCCCGTGAGGTCACGAGGGTCACGTGACCTCACAATTACGGCGACGCCGCTCGGAGGAAGGAGTAGCAGGCAGCATGAAAAGGTGAAGAGGAGGGGTATACCTTCCCCTCAGTACCCTTCCCTCCTCCTCCTCAAGAGCTGCGCTCTAATTCGGTGTTACAGAAAGTTGTAAACGTTTTTCTTTTTTTTTTTGTGGAAATGTCCTTTGTGACGAGGCAAGGTTAAAAATATAAACCAAGCAGGAGGCGATAATGGACCCATTGCTGTGGGGCAGGGGGCGCGAGTGCGTCCAGAAGACTTACGCAAGGCGTAACCATGTTACGTTGGCTGCACCATCTGTATGGTGCTGCAGAGTTCGATTTTGCACGTGCCACGGTCGAATACAAGCAACTGTCAGCATCTGTAAATGTGCGGTAACAAAATGTCTCAACAAAACACAGTCGTGGTACAACATTACCATGTAAAGTGATTACTTCTTCATATCAGTACCTAACAAGTTTTGGCAAGGTCATCTTCATTCACAAGTTGAATAACAGGACACTGTCACCCTTCTTTCGGAAGATCTTTCCATTTTTAACCCAGACTAATTTCTAGTGAAATTCATGCTTCCTTCCGATTACTTTGCCAAGCAAACTCTTGAGTGCTGGGCATAAATGCTCCTTTACAAAAACTGGCACAGCCAGCAAGAGGCCTAGATCAACAGAAGTGATAGACTTTTTTTTGCTTTGTCAAGTACAGCATCACGTTTACGGTGGCTCAGAAACGTTTACGGTGGCTCAGAAACCGAACGATGATGTTGCTTTCTCCAGGATGTGTTGATTCATGATGATCTACTTTGATGACTGCTTGTGTTATCGGTTCACTGATTAGGTCTCCAGACTGAGTCAGAAAGGTTCCTAGATCCTCATTGTCACCCTTTGTAATGCTTTTAATCTCTAGGTTTGCATTTCGGATGCCTAGTCTGGCACTCTGTCATCTCTTTTTGCAGAGCTTCGTTTGTTTGATGAAGGATTCCTATTCTTTTTTTATTTCCTTGTTTTCCTTTAAAATCACATCCAGTTCCTTTTTAGTCTGTTTGAGTTGGCTGTTGATGAAGTCCATATTAGTCCATACTACTACATTACACAGGTCAGCTGTGATGTCCCCACCAAGCGAGTCTTTCAGCGTCCTAACTTCTTTCATTAAGGCCTCTTTTAACTCGATGAACATTTTGGTAGGATTCTTTGACATATTGTAAACACGCAACGAATTTGCGACAAAACGACACTAACAACAACAGAAATAAAAAAAAAAAAAAAAAAAAAACTGAGACAGACAACAGAATAATGGACTAACCTGCAAATACACAGTTCAGCATTTAGTGAACTGTTGACTGTCGCTACTGCCAAATGATGATCATCTAAATCATCTAGGTTAATCATTCTAGAGCATTGCAATCATATCTGACCAAAATTGATGCATTTAAATATATTGTTACAAGCGTTCCAGCCGTTGTCCTTTTTCTACTGTCCGTACTTCGCCCTTCTTCTCCTCGTGTCCCCATGTGTCCTCTTTGCTTTTGCCCGTTACAATCGCCCTCCTCCAAGGGACTGTCCGTCCCGGACAGAACAGACGTAGTCATCGCGTGCCACATACAGTTTGAGTTGACTGACATGAGCTGTGAGGTGTCTTCCTCGTTGAGGCAGCGTTCTCAGTTCCTCGAGGCGATATGTTACAGGACCGAGTTGCCTGCTTATTTTGAAGAGTCCGCAGTACCTTGGGAGCAATTTCTCAGATCGCTGCGGCCGTCTGAGGTGACTTCGAAGAAGCACTAAATCTCCTGAATTGAAAGATGGTCCTGAACTTCCAGCGCGCAGGCGCTGGGTGAGATGTGACTGTTTGTGAAGAATGGCGAGTCCAGCTCTTTCTGTTGCTTCGTGTAATTGCCCAAAGAAGTCGCATCCGTAGTACCGTGCACGACGGGTCCCCGTCGTGTTCACTGCTGTCTCCTCTGGAAGCGTGGGAAGCCTTCCATACACCAGTTTGAATGGCGATTGGCTCATTTTTTCTTGTTGGAATGTATTTGGTGCAAACTCAGCAGTGTCAATATATTGGTCCCAGTTCTTATGAGATGAATTAACGAATGCAGCTAATATATCGCTCAAAGTGCGGTTAGCGCGCTCTACCAATCCGTTTGTTTGGGGTTGGTAGGGTGAAGCTGCTGCGTGTTCAATTCCGTAGTTTCCTAAGGACATCCTTGATATCACGAGACATGAGCGATGCTCCTCGGTCAGAAATGATCATCTGTGGAGTCCCATGCCGCAACACCAGACGGTTGTTCACAAAACTGACGAGGTGTGTCGCTGACGTGTCATAAACTGCTTGTACCTCAACCCACTTCGTTAAATAGTCTATGGCCACAATTATGTGCCTGTTGCCATCTTCTGATTTCAGGAATGGTCCCAGGTGGTATATGCCGATTATTTCAAACGGACTTGTTGGGGGAGGTATCTGGTGAACTTCTGCCTTTTTTTGATTTGGCGGTGTTTTGCGCATTTGGCAAGTGGTACATAAAGCAACATACTTTTGAACGTCACCTCTCAAATCTGTGCACCAGAACCTCTGAGCGATTTTTTCTAATGTCCGGTGTTGTCCAAGGTGACCAGCAGTTGTAGCGTTCTGACACATGACCATAACGTTGCGGCGCAGACTCGTGGGAACAAAGGCAGCCACGAATCTGACTGCCGTGATCGATGGCAAAGAAGCTTGTCACGTAGCTGGTAATGTGTTCGCAAATGTTGCAGGCGTTTTCCGTATAAACGAGAAGAGTAACTGCCTGTTTTTGCGAGATTACTGATGATAGTCGACGACTCTGTGTCGTTTGACTGCGCTGCCTGCAAATCGAGCAGAGCTACAACAGAAACTGCCGAACCATCCTCCACGGGATTGCGGGAGAGGAAGTCGGCATCTTGATGGTGTCTTCCGCTTTGATGAACAATTGCAAAATTGTACTCTTGAAGTTTCATTGCCCATCGAGCAAGCTTTGGCGTAAGATCGCTCTTCGATGGGAGCCACTGCAATGCAGAGCTGTCGGTGACCACTGTAAATGTCTTGCCGTAGAGGTAAGGGCGAAGCTTTTCCACAGCCAACACTACTGCGAGACACTCCAGTTCGGAAGTGTGGCATCTGCTTTCTGGTTCACTAAGCCTCCTGCTTGCGTAGGCAACGGGGCGTTCTCGACCATCTTTGTCCTGTTGAAGAAGGACAGCACCCAAGCCTTCTCCACTGGCGTCAGTGTGGATGACGGTGCGTGCGTCGTCTGCAAAATGGGCCAGCGTAGGCGGTTTTAGAAAAGCTCCCTTGAGGTCCGCAAAGGCTGCCGCTTCTTCCGCTTCCTATACAAATTTGGCGTCTTTTCTTAGGAGCCGTGTTAGGGAAAAAGCCCTCATTGAAAAGTTCTCCACAAAGCGGCGAAAGTAGGATGCGAAACCTAGAAAGCTCTTTAGTTGCCTTATCACTGTGGAAACGGGTATATTAGCAAAAGCTGACAGCTTTGCAGGGTCTGGACAAATACCATATTTGTTGATGACATGGCCGAGGTATTTGAATTCTGGGCCTCCCAATTTGGTTCTGGATTTGCAGGCTGGGAGTGGGCGTTCATGCTGAATATCCCACCGCTACCACCAAAATATTACGAGCGTTCCAGCCGTTGTCCTTTTCCTAGTGTCCATACTTTTTCCTTCTTCTCCTCATATCGCCGTTTGTCCTCTGCTTTCGCCTGTTACAATATATATATATATTTTTTTATAACTATGATAAATGATTGGAGCAAGCTTCCAGAACATATCGTCTGCAGAAGTGATGTTTAAAAATTTGAATGCCCGTAAGGCTTTTTTCTCTTCTTCTTGTGAATAAAACCTCAAGATATTTCTGTTTTCCAATGCCCACATTTTTTGTTTTTTTGTGTGTGCTTACAAGGTGCATTTTAAATTTGTTTTTGTTTCTTTGCCATTTCAAATCATTGAAACATTGCACATCAAGACATGTCTTCATTACTTTTTTAGAGCGGAGCTCTTAGGTACCTGTTTCCGACTTGAGCAGCGTCGCCGTCGGCGTAACCATGAGGTCACGTGACCCCCCCCCCCCCCCCCCCCCCGAGGCCACGTGATCGCCTGAGGTCACGTGACCCCCCTGAAGTCACGTGACCCCCCCAAAGTCACGTGACCCCCCCGAGGCCACATGCCCCCCGAGGTCACGTGACCCCCCCCCCTCCCCCCCCCCGAGGTTATGTGACCTCAAGGAGTCACCTATCCCTCAATACGCTTCCATCCTCCTCCTCAAGAGCTGCACTCTGACCGGCGTTACAGGGAATTGTAAACGGCTTTTTTTTTCTATGGTTACTGTTCATGATTTTACATGTGCTTTTTGCATGCCTTTTTGCACGTGCACTTTGGGCATGTTTTGTATAATATGTGTAAAACTAATTTGTTTACTGCAAATGCATCTTTGGAAATAGAAAATGTATATTGATTTTTAAAGTTTCTCTGGAATGGCCTTCAGCGGCCGACAGTATCCAAAGTAAAGAAATAACCCTTTGCAAATTGTCGATCCGCAACAGGTGAACTACCTGACCAAGTCCTATGCTTACCGCTCCCACCTAAGGCAGCTGGGCAGGAACCTGCGAGTGGTTCTGTCGCACATGGCTCTGTCTTCCACTTACGGACTGTATGGCAAGGAAGTGAGTCTGGAACATTCTTTTGCGTGCATATAGTCTTCAGCGCTCTTCATATAGATGTGTGCCGATAATTTGAGTTCTGAAATCGTATTGAGTATGGTTGGGTCTTTGATTGGAATTGCAACACATTTTCAATTTCAAATGTTAAATTTTTTAATACTGCTCTCTGATAAAACTTTTAAGAGGCCCTCTAATTGTCATAGCTGCTTGCAGTTTGGCTCAAAACCTTGTTGGATGCTTTTCTCATATGTTCATTATGAGCAAGTTGGCAAGGCAAAGCCATAAAATGTTATTGTGAACGACACCCCAATATGTGCAAGCGAAGGCGATATCGCAGGGTGTGCTGTCAAAATGGGAGAGAAGATACCCATCTGTGGCACCCTTTTTCAAACGACTTATTGAGTGGATCAAGTGTTGCAGCACATTTCATTCCCTTTCTAAAGGTGTGTATCAGTATTTCAAGGTCACACTCATCTCGGGTCCTGCGTAGGCAGCACGCCATGCACTAGAAACGAAACGTCGGTCCGCATAAGCTGCCACAAGCGAGTTCCGCTTTGTAGTTGCTTCAAAATCGAATTTGTGCAAGTTCCGGATTTGTCTGTTAAAACTCGCTGAGAAACGGGTAAAGGTTGGGAAAATAAGAAATAGTCGTTATGAAAATGCGTCCTTTGAAAAGATTCTTATTTGTGAAGTACCTAGCACAATGTTTTTGGATCGCCAATAATATTGGTGATCTCACTTGCTCGTTTGCTCTTTCATTAAGGCCACGTCCCTGTGGCGTGTTCCTTGGCAGGTGATGACTGACCTGGACCCCGATTTGATTTTTGCGGGACACCGGCACGTGGTGAGGACACTCGACTGGCTGTGCCGCTTCCACATTTCCCACCATTCTTGAGCCAAGGTTGCCGATTGAGCCTTTGGATTGCTCTTGGAAACCCCTGGCGACAAAAGTGAAGCTGACCCAGGCTGAATTGCAGGATGGATGTGCTCTACCGAGTGAATTTAATACTTGAACACAATCGAAGGAATTGAATTGCACGGTGCAGGATAGGATGGAAAAGGAAAGACATTGAAGGAAAGTAGAGAAGCGAAAGCAGACCAGTAGGGGTTGCCTCTACAGCTGTCAACGGTCATTGTGGAGCTGTCTGGCGGAGGACCTTAGTCCACCCTTGGCACAGCTCATCTTGAAGTATGACCGAGCTCAACTATCTAAGAGGTTCTTTTCAGATTCCTTACAAACGCTTGTTGCCCTTTCTCTTAGCCATTCTTTCAATGACCTTTTTTTTAGTAATTAGTGTCGCGCTGTACATTTAGACGAGTCAGTTTGGCTGTAGACAAGGTGCTCATGGACTGGTAGTTGGTTGCAGCTGGCTTAAAACTGTCCACTTCGTTTCGCCTTGCGACGAACTGCAACAGATGCTACCAGCTATCCCTACGAATCCAGTGCCGTGGGCGTATCGCGTGACTAGGTTCCCCTCCCCGTGCATCCCCGCTTCCCTCCGAAAGTTATATGACGCACGCAAGGCGTGGGATTGGTTCATTGCAAAGTGAACCATTCATGCTGAGGATGAGGGAACACAAGTTGATGCAAAATGAGGTTTAATCCTTTGTACCTTAACTTGGAGCACAGTCTTTTTCTGTTCGCCCGTAAGCAGTCTGCTTTCTGTTCTCGGGCGCTACTCAGGCATACAAATATTTTTATAAATAAACCATTTGCCGGAGGGCATCGAAACTTTTCACAAAGGTGGAGTACATAGATGGTGCATTTATCATGCTCAAGTTTTACAAGTGTGTTTTAGGAAAAAAGATTGAGCCTAAGAAAACAGTTTTTTTATGCACAGAGAGGAAAACGGCAAAAACCTGGTTGATGCTCGCAGATGGCACGGCATAAAGCGAACACGTGAAAGACACCCAAAAGCAGATCCAGCAGATCCCAGCATGTGTGGTACCATCTCTGAGTTGCAGTATCAACCAGAAGGTTTTTGCCATTTTCCTCCCTGTGCATAGAAGTAAACAGGTTTTTCTAGGCTTATTATAATCTTTCTTTTCTGAAACCTACACTCATCGAGTTTGAGCATGATAAATGCATCACCTAAACACACCTTTGTGAAAAGTTGAAATGCCCTCTCTTCGTCGGTTTATTTATGCAAATTTATTTTTTTTGCCCAACTTGGAATGATTTGTATGTTTTAGAATGTGACCAACGAACTGCCCTCGAAAGGCTCGGGATGTTGAAAACCAGCAGAAGAAGGAAGAAGTGTTTTGTATGCGCAACGATAATGTTTTGCTCACAAGGTTTGGCCGCACTTCTGGGCGCCACGTGCGCAGGCCGCAGTGGTGTGTAGATGTCGATGAGTATGGGCTTGCTGCAGTGCAGACGGGATCAAGTTGCGCTTGTCCATGTGGTGGGTCACGCGATAGTTTGCCACAGCCGAAGTTTCGACTACAGTTTGGGATTGTGTTTAAAGGGTACTTACGGTACATTTTCTCAATTTTAAGTTTACTACTGTTTTTATGAAGAAAATGTTCCTAAATTACAAGGTGTATTTTTTTATGCCTTGAGTGGTTTTGTAGATATTTTACCTTAAAGTTTTGTCGCGGGGGTCTATGGCAAAACCGAAACTACTGGCTCGAGCATGATGGCAACCCTTCTGATCAGCTGCATGGCCATAGTAACGCAAATTTCGTACCGTGGTACCGCGAAACCGTGGTACCACACGACTGGTCTTGTGATCAGTCGGGTAAGGTGCTACGGCTGCTTCACTCCTTTGCTTTGTAGCAAATATTAATGCACATTCACAAAGTTACTGGCCAAAGGGTGAGTTGGCCACAATGAATGCAGGCTCAGCGCAGGCTCAGAATGGACCCCCTTCTAAGAGTTACAATCTTGGTGGTGTATAATGTGCATTGCAGAAGCAAGCTAATTGTAAGCTCGCACTGAGCGGGAACAGACTAAACTATCGCAGCCAGCGAATACCATCTTTGGCGCCTCGATGAGCCTGAGCGAGCAGGGAGTCAATAATCTGTTACCCTTGAAAGAAAGAGTGCACTTAAAATATTTAGCTTTTTGCAGACCCATATGCGTAGACATTTGTTAGTAAAGTTTTTAGAATCGACTGGAGGATTATAAAAATTGTAGCATATCTTTTTTATATATAATACTCTCTCCATAGTCGATTTTGTTGAAGTTACTAATCAATACTCAAAATCATTCCCACAACTGTTCCATTTGTATTAGATTACATTTGACATGACAGTGCAGGCAAATAGTATTGTTACTTATTAGTATTTTGTGTTTTCCTATCTATACCTATAAATCCTGAGAAGTAACTCCCAGTCCGTTTCACCAAGATCGGAGAAAACGGAAACACCTTGAATTAAAAAACCACGAATGAGGGAAAAAGTCTAGCTTCATTGGAAGGAAACTTTTATTCACAGATTCATCTTAGGTTGGCCCAGAACACGGCTCCGCCCTACTGTCCTCGAGGCCTCTGCTTTCTTTGGGAACCACACTCGTTGTCCCGTTCCTTTTCTTTTCGATACTGGGGCATTTTCCAAGTATATTCTGGTCGTGCATACTTTCCCCAAGGGTTAGGGAGTCCCATTCCTATGTCCCATTCTTGTCAACACGAGCCCCACTAAACGCGATGCTTCTGTTTGACCCGAAAAATAGACACCAAATCTGTGGGAGAGAGTAAACATTGAAAAAGACCTCCCCCAAATCAAATGAAAAAGAAACCCGGAAAACATTACGTTTGCTTTTCAGTCGTGGGTCGTAAACCTCTGACCACGGCCGACTGTCCCTCCCAGTCGGAGCATGTGGCGGTCCGTCGGCGGGACGGCTCCGTGGAGTCGCTGCGGCTGAGCTTCACGGACGACCGGGTGGCGGTACGGCTGAACCTGTCGCGGCAGCTCGTGCACGAGATCGAGGTGCCCACCTGCTCGTACCGCATGGGCACTCGCAACGTCGGCTTCGGAGCGGCCATCATAGGTGGGCGGGTCGTGGAGTTCCCCAGAGTACCCTTGGGTGTTTCCCAAGCTCCCGTGTGGTTTGATCTAAAAACTATGAAGAGCTTATTTGTTAACTTTTTATTTTCTCAATGACTTTTGTGTTTTCAATAGCTCTGTTTGATTGACCTGTACCTCCTTATTAAAATATGACGACCAACCAATCCCTAAATCAGAGGCCCAACGTTTCGAAACCGGTTGGGCTTCTTCTTCAGGGGCGACTATGGAGGAAAGGAGCCGCAATCTTCTTTTACTTCTATGACGGAGGCGAATGTGCACGATCCCATCTTCTTCCTTTTTGATCGTTTTTTTTTTTCTCAACTGATTCTGACCGATGAAAAGGAGAAAAAACCAACATTTGCGACCTCAAGAAGAACGGATATACGGGCAGCTTCATACACCACATTGCCCGTCGTCGAAACCGAAGTCGACAACACCGCCAGTCGCAGGTTGATACGAAACGCCGGCCAACCACGCGCATCAGCGTCCCATGCATCAAGGGAACAAGTGAAGCACTGGCATGGGTGCTAGCAAAGGAGGGCATTCGGATGGCCCACAAGCCAATTTGAACCCTTGGACGCTTTATGCCACGACCAAAAGATCGGCCCCCTAAAGAGAAAGCGCAAGGTGTGGTGTACGAGATTCCCTGCGCAGAGTGGTCGTCCTCGTACATCGGGGAAACAAAGAACTATCATGAACGGTTTCATCAACACAAGGCTGATGTGCGCAACTTCGATCAAGAGCACAGTGCGGTTGCTGAACACGGTGAAAAAAATTACCACCGCATTGACTTTCTAAACAGAATAAAACAGTGCAAAGATACAAAGAGGAAGAAACAAACCAGACAGGACAGAGCGCCGTTTCCTGTCTGGTTTGTCTCTTCCTTTTTGTATCTTTGCGCTGTTTTATTCCATTATGTACAACGATTACCAACTAGCCCAGCTATCAACCTTATGACTTTCTAAACACGCGCATCCTGGACATCGAAACTAATCCTCGCCGGAGGCTCTTCCTTGAATCTTGGCACATTCAGACCACGCCAACAAACATTAATAGGTCTCTTGGCGCACTGCCATCTGTGTATGTGAACGGGCTCCACCATGTGTCTTCTAAAAACGATCAAAGAGGAAGAAGATGGGATTGTGCAGGTTCGCCTCCGTCGTAGAGGAAAAAGAAGATTGCGGCTCCTTTCCTCCATAGTCTCCCCTGAAGAAGAAGCCGAATCGGTTTCGAAACTTTTGGCCCCTGATTTAGGGATTGGTTGGTCGTCATATTTTAATAATCATTTCCTCAACCAGACAGACTTCTGTCTAATGTTTACTTTTAAACCTGTACCTCCTGCACTGGTGGAGAAAAGTGTAGGGCGGTGTGCTTCTGGTCGTATCTCAACACACGTACCAGAAGTACACAGCCCTACACTTTTCTGCTCTGGTGCAGAAGGTGCAGGTAACATTGAACGAAGCTACCAATTGCTTTTGTTGCTCTTGATGGTGCATCGAGTTGTGAAATGAATATCTATTTATCTTGAGTGTCTTCTCGCATTTCATATTTATTTAACATTGTTCTAGCGTTGACGGATTTCTCGTTACCATTATTGCCTATCTGTATGCGACATCTATTGCTAATTTTTTTAGATGCACGTGTATATATCGCGACTTCTCCGGCTTCCTTGCTTTCATCCTCGTGTACTGCGTCGTTAGACGCCTTCGAAATAAAATGAAGCCGTTCCGGCACTTATCGGCAGATAGTGCTGTAAATAACTAAAGGTTGTTTTATGCAAACATCTCGGTGCTAAGATAATGCAATGCTGGCACTAGTGCTGAACCGTGCATGTAAGTAAGAAAAGGTGGGGCTACATGAATTTGGAGCGCCGGTACAGTACAAAGTCGGTGCTTTTTTAAAAGCACTGGGTTACCACTAGTGTATCTGTAAACAGGCCTTTAATTTTTGTGTGGATCTAATCTTCACAAATTTTGTGACTTGAAAGGTATCATGAGAAATTGATTGCATGAGTGTGTTAACAGATGATAATGTGAACAAAATGCCACTCCCGCTTCTGAAATTGTGCCCATGAAATGTTTTCTAAACCCGCTCTTCGCTAAATTTGCGAAAAAGTAAGCAAGCTCACAAAATTAAAGTTATGTACGATATGCAGATTTGCAGCAAAGGAAATTTTGAGTAGTGAGTTGACATCATAACCTAGTGCTTTACAGGAAGCAATGAATATTTTTAAGTGTCAGTGACTTTTTAGAACGTTAGCCTGCTGGGTTTTATTTTTTTTTTTCATGGTCGGTGATTTAATTTAAAGTTGCCTCGACACACCAGTAGATATGGCTGAACTAGGGGCTCAAATTTTACATCAAAATAATGTTTATTCCACAAAGTTATTAAAGTTTGAATTTTGGTCCTCATTGTATTTTTTAAACAGTCTCTACTGGCAACACTGAGGAAGTGATACCAGCAGTGGGTGCAGGTTCAGTGTTCGGGCAATAGGGCAGTGGAACTTATGTCTTAGTGATTTATAAGAAGATAGATGATGTGAAATGAGTGCCTTGGAAGCTCAAGTTTCAGAAATTGTTGATGAGAAAATAGGGCATGCGCCCTCCTTGTAAATTTCCTCATAAAGGTATTTTTAAAAATTATGCGCAACTTTTAAATAAAATAAGGGGAAGTTCTGGAACCTTGGCATCTGGTCCCACCCACCAGCGCTACATTTGGACAGAGACCAAATGTATGGCAATGCATAGCATATCTTTGCAATGAGAAAAACCCAGTTCTCTTTTGTTCCAAACACTTGGTAATGATCACGGCCTTGGCCATAACCTGCTTACAAGCCAGGAAGCCCAAAGAGTGCACTGAAAGCAAGAATATATTTTTTAGCATTGACGAAAAGATAGTCAAGTTATATATTTTACGCATGTTGTGCAGCAAAATTGTATTTGTTAGCTAATATAGGGCCTGTAATTCTGCTTCTTCAAACTTTACATGTTGTGTTGCACAGCTTCACCTACTGCCACTGCATGTTCCTGTAGCACCATAATCCATAATATCTGCTGGAAACACTGGATGATTTTGTTCTGAGAAGAAACAAAACATTCATTTTATTGTAGTTCCAATTCGTCTTTGAAATGCTGCTACAAAAGTCCGTTGCATTAGTTGTCAACTGATCAAAGCTTTGATCAGTTGACAGCAGTCTTTGATCAAACATCAAAGATGTTTCTCTTGTGTCACAAATGCAGCAACTCGAAATAGTTCAGTAACATTTCAAACTTCTGTCGAGAAACTAAGCCGAGAGTTTTTTTCTTTTCTTTTTGTTATGGGCCATTTTTCTCCGGTTCGATAAGAAACAGTTTGGCACAGCATTTCCGTTTACAGTATAGGCAGACTATAAAAAAGTAAAACAGCTAAAATAGACGAAGGATGCAAGGAACAGCATGCACACACAAGGCGCTGGTGGTCATCCAGCCCCTATGCTAATTTTGCATTGTTCATTTGGGCAGTTGGTGAACTTTTTTTTCTTTTTTGCACAATTAGAGACAAAATTAGTAATGTTTGTGGCTTCTGGGTCATTTTTAATCTGGCCACCGTTGTCGTACAGTTCATGTGGGAATGAAAATGGGGCTGGCTTGGTTGCTTAGAGCCATTTTTAAGGTGATTGAAGCGGCCGAGGCGGAGGAGCCAAAGCTATACTTCGTTTCATCTAACAATGTACCTTGATGGACGTTACGATCTACACGAGGCAATCCATAGTTCTTAAGGTGTCTCGTGGCTTTGCACTCCCCATGCTTCTCCACCCAACTGGAAGGAGATGAGACACCCTCCGAGCTATGAATTGGCTCTGATGCCTCTTAGCATCCTTTGCGGTTCATCGAAAAGTGAAACAAAGTATAGATCGTGAGAGTACACAATTCTTTTTTAATTGAGAGGTTTTGCAGCTATTTTGCCAGGCTTTAAAGCATTCCCTCTTCCGAGCCAAGGGCGAGTTGCTTCGATTGCCAACTTGGCTCATGTTATGGACGTCCTTTGGAATGGATGCACATATACCGAGACGCCTTAGGCAGATGCCACACTCCGTTTCACCTTACGACGGACCACAAAGGATGCTACCAGCCATCTTAGCCAGTCCATCACCATGAACATGTTGCATGGCTACACATCCCGCGCATTGTTGTGCCCCTCTCGGAGGTCGTGTGATACTCGCGCGTTAACCGAGTTCCAAAGGCTACGCAAACTGGAACCGTCCCGACAGCGCCGCGGCGCTTGCGTTACCAAGCGACAACGAGCAGAAACTCGGGAGTTTCGGGACCCCACGACCTTGTAGCAAACACTACCGGATATGGGATGTGACGGCGATCGTGAAAATGTAACGCGTTGTCCCAACGGCTGTCGTTTCGGATCAACCGCGACATTCCTTGTCCCCGTCTCGGCAGATCCCGACCGGACGCTGACGTATGGAGTGCTCTGGTCTCCCGATCGGCTACTGCACCTGACGAGTCACGTTGTGGTGCTCATTGCCAGCGGCCTTGTGCTACTGCTTTGGGCGGGGATCCTGCACAAGTGCGCAGCCTGCATCGGCGTCAGGACCTGCAACGCGGGGGTGTGAAGGTGCGACCCGTGACCCGGGACGGAGCGGGTCGCTTCCATGAATCGTGCCTCGGTCTTTTGAGCCGCCTCCTCGCCACGAGTGGGCGGACTCCTGCGAGAGCAAGCTGCAATACCTCGCATGCAGAGATAAACTGGAGACGCACGGTCATTGGGTGTTGTCGACAGTAGCGAGAGACAAAAGGCCAAGTTCGACGGCTACGGTACTCTGGAAGGACTAGCGGCCACTGACGGGCAAAAATCCAATTTTTCTATCAAGTAATTTAGGTTTTCATAGAAAAAAAAAAAGACAGACGTTTACGATTCTCTGTAATGCCGAAATAGGGCGCAGCTCTTGAGGAGGAGGAGGAGGGTCACATGTGACATCAGACGTGACGTCACATGTGACGTCATGAGGGTAAAATTTTCCCGCTAAATGTAGCGGAAACATTTCCCCGCTAAGTTGAGTGTAAAAATTTACCTGCTAAATTTAGCGGAAAAATTTTCCCACCAAATTTAGCAGGAAAATTTTGCCTTTGTCACGTCACACGTGACGTCACGTCATTATGGGAAACGTTTCATGATGCAGTGCGTGGTTACGCTGACGGCGACGCCGCTCAAGCTGGAAACGGGTGCTTAAGAGCTGCGCTTTAAAACAAAGAAATTTCGGAAGCAACACAATATGTATGATGCTGAGGCCACTAAAAGTCTCATGCCCTGATTTCGCTGCTAAGAATGGCAATTTCTGAGAATAGTTATTTATTTAATGGTACAGTGGCTCTCCACTGAAAGCCACAGCAGGAATGGGATCACTGTTAAAAATACGGGAGAAAATAAACGTATGAACACCATTCATCATTCAGAAATGATTAAGTGAGACAGACATCGATCCACCACGGGTACTCACTGCAGTCACCAGCGACTCGTAAGAACCGTAGGGTGTGGCGGGTTATGAGAATCTCATTAATTCTCTGCAGCCAATGAGATTGCTGCATTGACCGACAAGAACACCGAAGAACCAATCACAAAGTGAGAGGCGTGATTGTAAAAAGCTATGCCCCCGCTCTTCTTCGGCTGTCTGTGGCTGTAGAGTGCCCCAACGCCTGTCCGTCTCATCATAATTGCGGTCAATTAAATAGACCTTCAAAAATTGTTATTTTCAGCATTGAAGAGGGACAGACTTTGATTGGACCCTATGTCATATATAAGGGCGTTATTTTCTAAAGATATGTGGTTTCATAATATTATTTTTATAGCGAGCTTACTTTAAGGGAAGCCGAAGCGGTTTTGTGTTTTGAGGAAACACACTTAAATTGCCTTCATTTTACCTCCAAAATCTTGAATGTCGAAATTGAATTTTTCACTCAGGTGCATGGAGGATGCAGAAAATTATTTTCAAAGTACCGCCGAAGCTCCTTCTTCCTGGAGTGTGACGTCGTAAAAGGAGTTTTTGGAATCTCCGCTCTCGCGCATCTTCAGCACCTATCAAAGCTATGCACGCGCACTCTTGCTATTTTAGAAAGGTAAAAAAAAGACGTCACGACTGGTGCCAGTGCGGGGGAATTTATCTGGCAAGCTTGCCATTGCAAGCTCTGCCCACACAAGCGACGCACGCTTTGCGGCCGAAAAGTCCTCTTTTGACGTAACAACTGGTCGGAGGTCTTTTCGCCTTTTCTCGCGTTTAGTTACAATCTTCGGGGAAAGCGAATGTAATATTGAGATTCGAGGGATAAAACTATGCTAGAGTCAACCTCTACCTGATTTTTTGAAAGAAGCGTTTCAGCTTCCCTTATACAATAAGAAAACATGATCGTTGCCTGTCAGTGACCCTTTAAGATTTAGTATTTGTTTTTGCCCGTGTCCTGGGGTATGTGCACTTGAGAGAACATCTGCATGGGCAATGTCCACATTAGTGAGTGACAGTTTAACATTTCAAGTTCGCCCAACGACACTTTGTTGACGACATTTGGTGGACGGTATAGTCTTTTTTAGAGAAAGATGTGTTTGGAATTGCAAATGCTTTTACTAGCCTGTTTTTTATGCAACGTGAGAGCTTCTCGAATGGCTTGTGCGGCGATGAGTGCAGTGGGAATGTATCTACTACATGAGGGAACTTCCCAATGGGCAGTGTCCAGATTATTGAGTGACATTTGAGCCATTCAAATTGTCCCAACAACCCTTTTTAAAAACATTCAGTGGATAGTAGCAGTCTTTTTAGTAAACTAAGCTTTTTAATTAACCCTTTTTTTTTCTTCAAGTTTTGGATTTAGTCAAAGCAGAAGCTCTAAAGGCATTGTGAATTATGCTTTTGTTTTTAAAATAGCTTTTTAGCATTTTTCGGTTTTATTTTCACGCTGTCACAGTTTTTGCAAAGACGTGGTTTCAACTCGCAGCAGCCGGATGTTGGGCCTATCCACTGCTCCTCGCTCTACCGGTTTTGCGCTGCGCAGAGAAAAGTGTGCCTCCAGGCACATTAATACATACAACATGCATACTTTTGTGTATTGTAAGACTTACAAATACAGCTTTATCACAGTGTGTTTGCACTTAAGACTCTAAAACAGGACATTTTTGATTCCTGTGACGAAGAGCAGAGCTAGATACTACACCAAAGGACACTAACAGTACGGAAGCACAGGGCGAGACTTGGTGCTGTAAGGTGGAATTGTAGCTGGACAAAACAAGGCGCCAAAGAATAATAATGTGCAGGTTTGGGCTCAAAACCTCTCGCAGTTTTCTGTCCCTCTGCACAGTTTCTCAGGAGTGGCTAGCGGTGACCATTGTTGACATGCAAGAGGCTCCAGAAACACGGCGTACTGAGATGTCCAATTGGAGAATGAGGCTAGAGCTCCTCAAAAAGGCATGAGCCATGCAGTATAACTAAAAGCCTAGCTGCTCAAGAGCGAAATTCGTGCCGAAACACTAAACCCCATGTTGAGTCCCCAGAGTAGCTGACTCTTTAGGTTCACACATTGAACATTATATCATTCCTCTTTTGCAAGTCGCTACAATTGGCTCTACTTATGCTTTTTTTCTTTGGAAGCTTAGTCTTGCTTTATAAAAAGACTGACATACATTGTGACAAATATAGTCCCGAGCCTAGTTTACAAAAGTGCAAAGAAGGGGTGCTCATGCAGAAGCAGTGTTTTACCATTGTGTTTGGCATTACTGTTTTTATAAAAATGATTACTAGATTAATATATTTCTGTTGCGACGTGGGGGTAGTGAACGTCTTTATCCGAGGCTACAGAAACGCCAAAACAGAGTAACGTACATTTGGCATGGCTGTTGGGAATCACTCTTCACTCGTACACCTGTTTCTCTATGTGTGGGTCAGGTGAGGCTATACTCCTTTTGTTTGGTGCCTTTCGTTTGGTTACCTCCTCCTCCCTCCCCGCTCCCCTTTTAGGCCTAAGAGACAGCCCTTTCTAAATAAAGTATTTTCATCATCACTCCTTTCGTTTACATCTGGCTGCAATATTCAGCTCCTAAAATACTCGTCTTCATAGCACGAGTTCTATGCAGCATAAAGCTCATTGTTGATAGTGATAAGTACTGCAGCATTAAGCACTCTCAGCTATATATTTACATTTGACTAAACATCTTTGGTATACTGCTGTTTTAGTTGTACTTTTAGCCAGTCTTCTTTACCATACTTCCTCAGTTACCCCCCTCCCCTGAGCAGACAGCGACTTGCCCCAATCAGGCCCACACTTCTCCCGGCTATCCCTTTTTTTCTCCGGACAAAGTGAGCAAACAATTAACCTGACATAAACTAAATCCTTTGTCGCAAGCCTGTACAAGTTCCATACAGTACCTAATTGTGTGTCAAAAGTGAAATTTCTATTTTTATCTATTGCCCGTTGTAGATGTCTGAAAGCATATCTTTGAAGCCTGAGAATTGGCGATCGAGATATTGCCCCCTTTTTTTTAGCAGTCTTCTGTGTTTGCTTCGAACCAGCATCACCAAAAACTAACCATTAGGCTGCTGAATGTGCCACAAAGAATGCGTTGACGTCACGCTTGTCGTGCTTTTCTAATACATTACATAATTCCAGTCAGAGTGGTGGAAAAAATCCGCAGAACGACGTCGCTCATCTGGGGAGTGATTCTCGGGAGCTATGCCAAACGTACCCTTCTGACGATAGGGGCTAGCAATGCTCAATTTGGCTCCACCTGCGGTCTCCACAAACTTTGCGATTTCCCAGCTTGGCGCAAAGTGCATAGACTGAGACCCAAGCCTAGCATTCCGGCCCCAGCCTGGGCCAGAACCTTTTTTATGAACTGTCGGGCATGCTGGTATAGGGCTGTTCTTGCTGATATTGTCCGAGAGAGTACATCTTTTTATGGTAATATGCTATGCTGCATATCTGGAGTGCTGGTGAAAGATGTCTTTTATGAACACTGTTTTCTTCTATATTTACTTTAAGGTGGTTTTACGGTTTTACACACTTTTACTAACTTTCTCGTACAAGATTGTCATCTTTATACTCTTTCATGTAGATGTTTTTCACATTGGCATCTTGAATCGCAGAATTTTCTGTAGGGGGAAAATGTGGTTTTGCATTGCTACTGTTACTTAGGTATATTCTTTTTTTTGCCTCTTCTTTATTGTTTTACTTATTCCAAGTTGTAATATCTTGCCTTCTTTTTTTGTTCTTTGTACCCGATATGGGAACTATGTGGCTGTAAGGTCAAGAGTAAACCAGAAAGATCTATACATTTAAACTTGAAGCCTTCACATGTTTTAGGAAGACGTATATATTTCTTGAGTGTAGCATGATCTGATGTAATGCTCTCATAGTTGGAAGAAATATGAATGGTGGAACACTATTTATCCCTTTCAACAGCACTTGACTGAAGAGGTATGCGTGCAAGTGCATGCAGAAGTTGAGACACATAAGCGAACCTTAAAGCTCTGATATATTGAACCTATCACCACAGTGTGCAAAAGAATGGCAGTCCCACATCCATGTTTCTTTTGACCATGAGAGCACCCCTAGAATGCCTGTGTTGCAGACATTTGTGCAAATTTGGCAGTTAGGTTTTCTCCGTGATTAGCTATTTCAGCCCTTCCCTGGTGTGAAACAATAAATGATTTGACCATTATGCATGATTTAGGAATAACCATTTTAGCACCACCCTGTAACATTTTTAATGTAAAAGCATATGTAAATGCCTGTGCTGTACCATTTTGTACCCTTTCTGGTTTGCAATATATTTGCAATTGAATACCAAGGCCCTCATATATGAGTACTTTGTCAACCCTTTTCAGTCATCAAGTGTCCCAGGTGCAAGGTTGACCCCGAGTGAAGCAAAAGATGCTGCGCGCATGAGCCTTGTATGGTTGTGATTTGCAAAATGTGTTTCTTATAAAAGTATAGATTGTTATAAATGGGGCTTCTCATGGCTGGTTTGTACTGTACTCGGGCACTTGAGTGGACCCATGATGGTCAAACATTATGCATTTACTTGTTCACGTTCACACAACCCGTGTCGACGATAGCAGTAATGTGGGAGAAAGGTTACCCGAAGAGGCTAATTCAGTGATAATTGTGTTGTGGGGGTGTTTACACTGACAGTGCATGATCTCAACTATATAGCAGGTTGCATTTGTGGCTTTATTTGCATGGCATGAAAGTGGTAACACCAGGCTTCTGGAGAGCTCCGAAACAATGTTGTATTCTTTCATTGTGGCAAATCTAAATGGAAGTGTTGTTGCGATGGCGCTGCTACCATTAAAAAAAACGAATTAATATTTTTTTTTTTTTTCACTTTTTCTCAATGGTGATGGATGTCCTGATGGTGGATTACCCATCTGCCTTACACATTTTAAGTAATAAACTGCTCATTTAATTTGGGATATGTTTTCTTCCACATACATCCACATTTAGAAACAAGAAAAAAGTTTCTGTATATGATGATGTGCATCTCTTTGGTGACAAGAGGATATAATAATGATGCTCATAGACTGAAAGTTTTACATTTTTGGTAGGGGCTGGGGCCCAACGGAGGCCCCTCCCCCTACCCACCCCGGAAAGACTCATTACCAAGTTACAAATGTGATTTGGTCTAGCGAATAATTATTTGAAATAAATCATTTTGGGCAGTGCAACATGGTGATGAGAATCAATTGCTCTAGATGCAGGAGCAGCCTAATAAATATGAGAGTATGCTTAATTTAGCTTTGTCATCTTGTTAGTTTTGATTGCAAACATTGCTCTATGTATTACCCCGTCCTATTACTAAATAGCAATTCCTACAGTTTTGTTTGTGGTATTGCTGGAACAGTAGGTATTAACGTGCGAGGTCCCACCTTACCCCTTCATGTCTCAAAAGTCGAAGTTGATTTGAACGAAGACGGCATTGAAGACAGATAGGAGGATTGTTTAAACAAAAAAAAAAAAGAACACTAGGATTACTTGATGCTGGTGCGACTCTTCCTTAACAAAAAAACGAAAAGACCCCCTTTCTTGTCCTCCTCGTCAGCCCCTCGTAATATTGAGACCACGCCCTAGTAGAGAGCTACTTTGGAGCCAGGCTGGTGCTCGATAGGTTAACTGGCGGCCAGGCGACTCTGGAGTCTGTGGTCATCGGTCGTGCCTGGTGGTGCCTTCGAATTTTGCCGCCTGTTTCCGCCATAGAGCAACACATTGCCAACAAGATGTTCTTTTGTCTTTTATGCTCAGATTTTTCTTTCCTTATATGCTGCTGGGGGCATTCGCAGCGGCTTGTAAGAAATGTCAAAAAAGGCATTTCACTGCTGTCACTTTTGCGAGCGAGCCAGTTCCCTCGTCTTGCTTCTGCTTTCTTTTCGCTTATGACACCACAATTGCAAGGTGCCAAAACTCCTTTTTCGCCTTTCTCTGTTCATTATGTAGGGCAAGAGCGCCTTAACGATTTCCGTTGCCGATGGAGTCTTTTACTACGCATTTCCCGCGATCTGCAGGTTTGTTTCCATTTTTAATTGCCAAGTTTTCTTGCCTGGAATTGAGTTTCTTAATTATTTCACATATTAATGTTTGTGAAGTGTTTGCAGTTCATTTTTTTCATCGCTTCAATTCACTGGGCGACACCCGTCGACACAAGCACCCGACAGGACACACGTACAAGGTGAACGAGACATAGGTCCTGGAGGCAAATGTACTTCCTTTTCTGAGAAACATTTCACATACTTTTATAAAAAAAAAAAAAGGCCTTGACGAGTTGGGTAAAACAATGTAACAAGGCAAGCAAAGAAATACCTCGTTTGAATTTAGTTCAAGGTTTTCTTTTCCTGAACTGTTCGTTAAAACTAGGAATAAAACTACAACTACAATTTATATCCAGAGAAAATTGACCTACAATGGGGGTATTCACTGGACACCATATTTGAGGGCGATGTTTAGAGCGCATGTTCAGAACGAGCTCTCATTAATAGCCTTCTAAGACTGGCAATCTCGACAGTGCGCAAGCTCACCGTCTGCACGCACTCAGCAGGTGCGCACAGCTATGGCCACCAGTGAATACTGTCTATAGTAAGCAAACTTTCCGAGACCACGGAGCCAATTGAGATGCTCAGACATGTCAGCCGTTTCTCCTAGGACACCTGTGCAAAGCAGAGAAGCTTGACGAGCTCACGCCGGTGTTGGGTGAAGCTTGATGTCGGAGTGCTGGTATGGAACTGTGAGGTTTGGCAAGAGAAATCTGAGAATTCTCAAGACATCCTTCGTAACTTTCGAATACCTGAAGAACTTGAATATTTCGATCAGTAAAGGTGTGCTGCGAATTGGATCAAATAGCAACGGCTATTCGCAAGTTATTCCGAGTTTAGAATATTCGCGCGCCTTTAAAATGTTCCGGAACGGCCCTGTGAAAACAAAGTTTGCTTACCTGTGTACCAGTGTCTGCTGTCACTTTTAAGACATAAAACCTAAAAAAAATTTTTGTTTTTTATTGCAAAAATAAGTGCTGCATTACCAAATAAAGCGCTACACGATGCCAAAGCTTCAGAACTATTCATTATCTTGTTCAACTTATATGCGAAATCAAACCTTGTCAATGGGAAAATGGTGGCCAATAAGGTTCACAAAGACATGGGGATGAATGGCTTTCACGTTGAAGGTTTCAGGAAGTCATTTACAATTTTTGAATAAGACAATGTTTATTTCTGAAACTTGGACATTAGTTCAGACTGAGCTGTTGGTATTGCACATATAGTTTATTCTTGTACTAAAAAAAAAAAACTTCCTTGGGGGGGCACATTGTCTTCTACTTTAAAGCTGCGCACTTCGCGAGACGATGGTACCATATACTGCCAGAAATATTCTTAACGATTTGCAAAAATTCCAAGAGGCTGCATTGGGTGTGTAATGAATTATGGGAATGTCCTGTATGCTTCTACTGTATACTTTGTTTCCACTTAAGTCCAGACGCAGCTAACTCTACGGGCTAAGGGGACCAATCAAGCAGCATCAAAAGCGCATCACCGGGTCTCCTGTTTATGATTTATTCAGCGAAACATAACAAACACCACGATGTCGCACTTTTGATGCTGTATCCTTGCTTAGGTTGCCCTATGAATTTCACATAAATTTAAAGGAACAGTTTCACATGCTCCAACATTGCAATTTACCACAAAAGTAGGACTGGGTGGTGCATTAGTTTTGTACAAATAACAAGGTGAAATATTGCTTCAATTAAGATAGAAATAAATAAAATTTTCCTATGGCTACCCTTTCAGATTAGAAGTGAGGAAGTTTTCTAGTGTCATTGGACAAAAAGGAAATGAGAGCAGGGTCGGAATTATTGTCTTCACTGTGTTTTCTTTAAATAGAATGTCCCATATACTTCCACCTTTTTCCACATTGGTTTTTAGTTGCAACTTCCGATTGAGACAGGTTTGCTCCAATATTTTCAAAACATAAAATGTAGCACCCAGCTGCACCTTCAGCAAAATTAATGTCACTGGGATGTGAGACTGATTTTTGAGATCAATTTAAATTTGGCTAGATAAATTCGGCCCTTGCTGCCTAGAGGCAGCTCCCTGTATCCCCTCCATGAAGAGTATCGCCTTCTTTTTAGAACTCGGCTCTTAGGCGGCCGTTTCCGGCTTCAGCGGCGTCGCCGTCGGCGTAACCACAAGGTCACGTGACCCCCCAGGCCACGTGACCCCCAAGTCGCGTGACCCCCCAAGTCACGTGACCGCCTGAAGTCACGTGACCCCCTGACGTCACGTGACCCCCTGACGTCACGTGACCCCCTGACGTCACGCGACCCCCTGAGGTCACGTGACCCCCTCCCACGAGGCCACGTGACCCCCCTGACGTCACACGACCCCCCTGAGGTCACGTGACCTTAAGGAGTCACCTATCCCTCAGTACGCTTCCAACTTCCTCCTCAAGAGCTGCGCTCCAACCGGCGTTGCAGGGAATTGTAAACGGCTTTCATTTTTTCTTTTCCCACTAACTACTCGTTGGCGGGGAAGGAAGCACACAAGCAAAATAAGCCTGAAGCACTTGCAAGCAAGTGCCCCAGCGAGCGCCGGGCTTGGGGAGGGACATATTTTTCTTTCTCCATTTGTGAAATTTAAACCTTGCACTATAGCTTTGACAAGCAGGAAGCTTCTTGAACCTTCGAACATTGCATGGGCCACTTAAACATATCTGATTGCATTCTTTTTTTTAAAGCAAGCACCATTTCAAAGAAGCTGTTTACAAGCACGACATGACAACCAACGACGCAGCGTGCAGGCGCACACTTTTGAGGGACCTGGGAGATGCACGATAGCGCAATCACACCACCACCGGTGCATGCGAGGTGGATCTTAGCCTCATGCAGTTGCACCCATCGCGTCTCCTGCAAGAGTGATGGTCACTTCACGTGCAAGACTTGGAATTAGAATTTGAGGCGGTTGTGATATTCTGTTCCACAATTCATTACACCTAGGTATATGTGAAAGGGATATTCGTTATCCAAAATACCTCGAAGTTGTCGCATCGCACTGGGTGTCAGGAATATCAGCATGTTTTGGGACATTAGGAATTAAATTTCCACACCTCAGTTCTATTCTAAACACTAATCAGCGGGACGATGCATTCCTGGCCTCCGACTTGCAATACCACACACCACACTTGACTCTGCAGCAGCAGTTCAGTGGTTTTGCTTTCAATAAATTCTATCGCTACACAAGAGGAAATGGCGAAGGAAACTGACACCCTCTCGTGATAAAGTCCCGGAGGCTCACGCCGTCATCAGAGCGAAAATCTCTGCTCTGGTGACAGTACAGAATCTGTTGGACTTCAGGTGACTTCTGACATCAGAAAATGGACTTGTTGCTTCATAAACAAGTCTGCAGCTTTCCAACTCTCAGTCAGTGTAAAAACATGTCATGTCAAGAGATGTCACATGTATTAAAACAAAAACTATGTAACCACTCCTGCCCTGGAGGCCAGAAGCAGCTGGCAGTATTGAATAAATAAAAACAAAAACATAAAAAGGCAGCGGAGGAAGTTGTCACAATGTGCCTCATCTGAAGTTACACCTACGTGATGTCATATGAGAAAATGTGCATACATGTCATTTCACCCATCCCAGATTGATATACGTGTGGCATGCATCGGCTGAGAAAAATAAAACAGACATTTATTGAGTGTCCCAATTTTTTACTTTTTATTTATTTTACCAATGTTTTTTACCCACGCATCTTCGCATTTAACAACAGCCTTCCCGACACATCCATTGCATACTTCAAGAGTGGCTCGGAAATAAGCCGACAACAGATTCCAAAATGTTCGCTCATACTCGAAAAAAAGAAAAGTGCTCCAATCTGGAGCATGCAACAACAAACTTGCTTTTGTTCTCCCCAAACTATGCTAACGACACCTGTCAGCAAAACAGTCAACAAAAATTCACAACTCTCGTTGCCTTTCGCTCGCCCTCTTTAACTAAAAACTCCAACAAAATTGCGTCCAGAATTCTTCGCGTCCAACACCGTAACAGCAATGAAACAAAAACTTAAAACCACGCCAGAGAAGACTTTTCCTTCTTTAGAACAAAAACAAAGACGCGCACTAAGCTTCGACGCAATTGGGTGCGTCTGCCCCAATAAAACTCTCCCCTCCCAAACTCGCCAGAATGGGAGAGGATGTGGGGAGGATCTCAAATCTGGAGAGGACTGCAACACAGTCCCGCCTTTCTGGAAGTGTCTGTGCAGGTTGCCACCTCCTAAGAATTCAACCAGCCCCGTTCGCAAGCACGGGGAACATACTTCGTCGGAGACTCCTGGTTCCGCCCGCCAACAAACGTTCTCTGTTGTTGGTCCACGACACCAACGACCAGCCCCACAGGGCAAACGCCCAACCAACGTCGCTTGCAGTAGAAGTGGCTTCCGGAAGCACAGTTACACTCCGGAGCGCCGCACATCAACAAACATTCGTTTACCGACCGACGACAACACCAGAGTGTCACAAAAGTTGCTTACAAACTTTGCCGTGTCCGCGAGCGGCGTTGGTTGGACGTTTGGAAGTGGGCCACAAAGCACAACGAGACGTTGCCGGCACACCTGCAACCGGAGTGGGTCGAACGCTTGCCTGGCGGTGAGCAGACATTAGAAAAAGCCCGAGCGAGCAAATCAAACAAATAAAAATTAAAAAAAAAACAATGGAGGTTAGGCGACTTGTTTCATGTCGGGAAGTCAATTATAAAAAGAGCTAGGTGCCGCGACCCTTGAGGAGAGGGCCTTGGAAAGCTGAGCGTCCCCCGTGTCCCCTCGAGATGGCCTCTCTTGGGTGTCTTCTCAAAAAATGGCTTGGCCGGCCCCGGAAGGCGTGAGGGGTCGAGAGGGGGCAGCGGCCGCGGCATGTCCCCTTGGCACTTGGTCGGACTAGATGTCCATCGCAAACTGTGGCTCGTCCCCGGAACCCTCTGCAAAGCAGACGACGGGAAGGAAACGCCATTCTGATCTCTCCGCACGAGGGACAGATGCCGGCGCACTCCGTTGCTCAACATAGTGTGGCGGAGCAAAATGTGTGTCACGCAGTCAGCGGGACACTGGACCTCGGGTGTTGAAAACAGCCTTCCGTTAGAGACGGAACAAACCCACTAGAGTTTACACTTCCTCGGTAGTCACGCCATAGCGCTGGGTTTCCTACGTCCTCTACGAGGAGCCAGTGCAGGGCACGGATTAGAACGGGTGATGCATCGGCTGGGATTCGTGTTCCATCAATAAGTCCAAGCCAGACAATGACACAGCAATAGTCATGTGCGAACAGTGGATTTTGAGTTTGAAGCAAATTCAAAGCAAATAGCGGTTTTGGCAGAACATTTTCTAACCGAACATTGAATAGTTTCCCCAAGCCTTTTACTACTGTTGCACCATGCTTAAACGAAAACCCAGCTAAGCTCCTGAAAGTTGTTCCCAACTTCCACCTGTCCATTTATAAGCTCATTTTAAACTAACTTTATTTATGGATTGTGATCTCAAAAAGTCAGATGCCTTGGGATGGCAAGTAGACGATAGATATGACATAAAATTAAGCCTATGAAGATGCTTAGCTATACCTAATTGAGTGGATTTACAAACCTTGCTATTTGCAAATATTCTGCATTTAATCTCAAATTAAAAAAAAAAATTGCAAATGATGAACGCAGGTTGTCAGGGCATCTCTGCCTAACATATACTCTTGTATAACAACCCCGGATTAATTAAAAAAATTTTACTGCTATGTAGATATCAGCCTTAACCCCTTAATGGTTTGTGAAGAGCTCAGCTCGTCACAAGTGATCGTCCATTTTCTGGTTTATGACGAGCTCGCCTTGTCACACCTTTTTTGGCGCAGTTTCCATGGTTTATGACGAGGTCAGCTCTTCAAACCATATTAAACCACATTGGTACAAATTTTGCTTAAAAACTTTTACAATTAAGGGGCTAATGTGGTTTGTGTTTGTTTTTAAATACACCAGGCATGCGTGCGCGTGCACCACCATGCTTCGAAAGCGTGGTTTTATCTCAAGCACATAATTGCAATGTTCATACTTTTCCAGGTTTCATTGCAGCGGGTTACTCCGTTCAGTGTGCTTCTTAACGTGCACCGGTACACTGCGGAAAAGCAACACCTGCGGAGCTTGCTTCCGCGGGTGTTACTTCTCTGCAGTGCACCGACTTCTCGGTAAGAAACGCACGCTCAACGGGACTAATCCGCTACGATCGACACTGAAAAATATTAATATCGCAGTTTATTTATTTATTTGAAAGTACTGTTAGCCCCCTCTTCATTGCCATTGAAGAGAGAGTCCAAGTGACTAAAATATGTGCAATTATGAATGCAAGAAATCCCGTCGATATTCATCTCAAAGCGAATATCGAATAGCATATTATTCGAAATTTTGAATATTCACACAACACCATACAGCACTCATATCGAATCTGCGCCTCGCACTGGCCTCTTCTAGGTACATTGAAGACCAAGCATTATGGCCTTGTTATCGAAAGGTGTTGCTACAGTCCTGTGCTGACAAGCACACGACACTGTAGTGTCCCTGCTGAAAAGCATAAACAACCCCCCTATCCTGTCATTTTCTTTCTTCCAGTTTTTCCTATATTTTGTAGCTATGGAAACATAAAACATTAGTAAAATATCAGATTTCTGACTATGAAATTGAATTTCTCATTGAAAACATCAATTATGAAGAACCAGAAGCAAATTAAACAGGGGGGGGGGCCGGGGGTTATAACATTGAGAGCACAATCTGTCTATGAGGAATGGCATGCTGGAAAGCTGTAGATGAGCGATTTAATGTGAATATATGCCGTCAACACATACCTAGGTTATTTTGAGAACCAAACGGCATTGAAAGCCTGAGAAGACCTACCAGCACAAAATGCCATTCCCAGATTCACAAGAGTTGGTGCCTAAACCCCAACATACCACTGCAACTGGCAGAACTGTTTTTGCCTCTTGCCAAGGCAGTCCTGCATACATCCAAGATACCGTATTTTCCGGTCTATAGGTCGTGGTTTTTTAAACATTTTTCTTGGTGCATTTTATACAACAATGTGATTTATATCTTTTTTAATCCATGATGAAACATTTTTTTTATGCCGCATCTGATATTTTACAGTTTCCCGAAATGGCTTAATGTGGGTAGGCAAGACAGTGAAAATAAAGCTTTTACAGCATGTGATTGACGTTGCCTAATTAAACCATGGTTCCATATTCTTTTGCTTCAGTCCAGTAACACTGAAAAGCAAGTGGGCTGGTATACACGCATTACAGAAAATTTTCTCGTATCTTTCTTAGTTTTCGTTTGATGAGCAGCTTTTATCTACCATGCTCCAGCCGTGTTGCTAGATGTAAAAGGAAAGATTGCGGCTAGCCAATCTTTTAGCAGTACTGAACGAAGCGCGTCGAGATTTATCGATCTGCCTGCGCACTGATGCTCACGTCGTCTCCGCGACTTGGCCTAGGCTAGGCCTAGTGGTCCAAAGCTTGATTCACGAGTGTCTGGCACGTTTAACTTCCATTTGCTCGGCATGTATACACTCGAATAAAGCAGACTACCTTTTCATTTTCTGCGTTTAGGTCCTTTTGCTGTAAAACACTCGATTGCCCTTGCCAGACAGCGCCGTGCTGTGGGCATTTCTCGTGAGTCGAAATGTCAAAGTTGTTGCACATCAAACGGTACGCGTGAACTAGCAGATTGTGCGAAACTCCCGATTTCGCGATACCGATGCGTGTAAAACGAAAAAAACTCATCGCGTGAACCATGCAAAGAGGTGCGACTTATACAAAGGTGTGACTTATATACCAACTTTTCTGCGAGAACGGCTCAATATACGGAAGTGTGACTTATACATGGGTACGACTTATAGTCCAGAAAATACAACACACTCCTATTGAAGCTTGCCAAGCACTGTGCTGGGATGTGACACAGGTGATTAGAATAAGTCCACCGAGTAATACTTATTCCCAGATTTCCCCAAACTCCGCCGTGTTTAGCCCAAATTCTACAACTGCAGCCAAAACACAATGTCATGCGGCAAAACTTGAAAGCATAGAGGTTATATAAACATAATAAATCTAGAGGAGAAAGATTTCAGCCGCATCGGAACGACGGACAAAGTGGCAGACACTGGTGGTCTGGGGAGGCCCAGGTTGCTGGCCACACTATAATAAAGACAGAGAAATGCCAGAATGCCACTTGCACGGTCACTATCTACTAGTCTTACTAATTAGTGCAAGCATGTGGTACTATTACTCCTGTTTGAAAAAATAAAAAAACAAACATGGGTGATGAGCATAGACAACCAATCTATTTCAGTCAGAAACAATGTTTAATTTTGGACAGAGAAACTAAGCGATACCTGGGTCACTGCACTCGATTTCTGTATCCAAAATTAAATATTGTTTATAACTGAAAAACAAAGAAAAAAGTAGTCAGTGTTTTTTGTTTTTGTTAAATACGTCACCTAGTCAATGTTACTACACTCGTGGACTGTGACTATGCAGTCAATGCTAGAGGAGAGAGTGTGTTTGCTTGCTTTGACTGTACTTTTCTCCTCTCTTTGGATCGCCACAGAAAGCCGTCCTCGAATACAGTACAATCCACTCGTAACAATAGTGAGAGATCCCGAAAATTCAATCGCTAAACCGATTATCGTACTATCAGGACAAGAAACTGACCGTTTCTAATCTAAAAATTCTAGAAATTGATCGTTATAAGCAGTACATCGTTATATGTGGCATCGTTATCAGTGGATTGCCTTGTACAGGCAGACAAGCTGGTTAATCGACATACTGAAACCCGAGACAGAGGCAAGAAAGGGCAAAACACAAAGTCTCAAGCTGCTGTGTTTTGTCCTTTTTTGGCTCAGTCTTGAGTTTTAATATGTCAATTAGTCTTTTTAGCTTTATCGTGCTGGAAAACATTGGTGTAGTGCATTAAACAAAAATTCAACAAGCACTCCAGCAACCGCTCACAGCAACACGAATGTGTTTATCCGATCACCTGCTTTCTTTCTACGCTTTTCTGTCGCTTTCTTCCTCTTTCTTGAGACCACCGATGTCGTTGCTCACGATGGCCACACTTCACTTCCGCCTTTACCGCCCCACACTTTTGAAGCGACCCTTGGAGGCCCGTAAAAGTGTTCAACAAACCAGGCTGGTAAATATGGGAGCAGAGCATAGCAAATCAGAAGTGTTCAAATCGATGGCTCCAAGAGAAAGAACGACAATGACGGCGATGGAAAAGCAAAGGAAGATAGCTGATGAAAGGTTAGGCTAGGCGCATTCGTTCTGCCGCGACAAGTTCACATGGTTCGACTGCTTGTCAACTTTATTTCTTTTTATGCAATTTGCAACGCCAGTGTTTCCTTCCAAGATAAGGCTATACTCTGTTTCACGATAACTTGGCAAACTGTGGAGGCTGCGGCTCCCGCAACCCAATAAGGACGCTGAAGCAAGGCATGTGATAACACTCCATGATCGAGGCCACTGGGGCCTCGTTACCGTCACAACAGAGCCCTCCGCAAAAACAAAATAGTTCTAGGCTACTTTTTCTTTTAACGGCAATTGAACTTGCGTGATTCCATCTATAACGAGAAGATATGAAGAATAAAGAATAAATAATCACAAATTTACGAGTTTCAATTATATTTAAACCAAAAAAATAATGCTACATCCGTATCAGATTGATTTTTTCGCCTTGTGGCACCGTGGCCGTTGACGACCGCAGCCCTGTAAATGGCCGTTCCCGCTCAAAACATCACACTGTGTCCTGGCATTAGCACCCATCACAGATTCGTGGCTAAATTGAGCGTATGGTAGTCTCACGAACTGTTCCGAAGTGCCGGCTATTATAGCGAATGGATATGTTGCTGCGGTGCATTTTCATCTGATATTGGTTAGTTTCGGAGCAGACGAATCTTGGCTAGCAGACGACTCTTGGCTAGCAGACGACTCTTGGCTAACGGACGACTCTTGGCTCACAGACGACAGCCGGTCTCTCCGGGCCTTGCACCTCGCATCTGGCGTGATGACAAATGCTCCCGTGACGTCAGGTCACGTGCCTTGCTCCGACGCTTTTATTGGGTTGTGGGGCCCTAGCCTCCACAGTTGGCCAAGTTATTGTGAAACGGAGGACAGAAAAGACGAGATACGAACCTTGCAAAATATATCTTGCTGCTCCTTGTGCATGTGGTAACGGTTTTCTTCACTAAAAAATTTTACTACTGCCATATTTTCGTACAGCTTTATGCATGTTAATATATATATATATTTTTTTAACATTTTATACCTTAACTGGTATGGCTTTCACTGAAGAGCCAGAGTATTCTAAAACAAATAAATTAATATAAAAAAAAATCTGCAGTTGTATTCTGACCTATCGATCAAACTGTCATACACAGAATTGTGTTTTATAAGGAACGTAGCAGGTGTGAACCTATCTCAACCGTCAGGGCACGTGACGCCGTGTCTAGCGTCACCACAACCTCCCTTCGTACAGTTTTTGTTTTCTTCTTCTTCTTGTTTCTAAGCTTTCACAGCTGGTAAAGTCTAGTTGAAACATCTCACTCCTCGAAGTCCTCTCCACTGTCTCTTCTGTTTTTATTTTTTTTTTACAGTCGCGTTGTGCAGTTAGCAGAGCTTGGGGCACAAGTGTTTGGCAGCCGGTCATTTGTTTTAAACCATGGCACGTTTCACTTTACAAGGCTAAATTACAGTTAGCTTCACTAAGAATGCAATTCTGCATTAAAAGTCGCCAGCAATCTGGTCCAACTGGGACCACAAACGTCCGCCCCTTCACTCTACCGTACTGAGGTGACCCAAATGCATGGAGGCTGGTGGATTTTATCACCCGAAAAAGTACTTGTTGTTGGGCTAGCTCTTGATGAACGTTTTGAACCATGGTTAAAAGCACTAAAAAGACAAACACGAGGGAGAGGACAAACGTGAGCACCCATGCTAGTCCTCTCTTTTATGTCTGCCTTTTTAGTGCTTTTGAGCATGGTTCAAAACTTATTCCCTAGGTTTACTATGAGAACTCCATGTGAGAAATGAGCAGAAGAGAGATTGCCCCCCGGGGCCACCCACCGGGCTTGGAGGGGGGCTTGGCGGGCGAGGCGGTGCCGTTTTCCACGGGCTTCTGTGGCTGTGCGGCCAGCTTGGACTCTGGGCTGCAGGACACCGTCACCCCCGGGATGAGTGGCAGGTTCTTGGGTGGCGTGCGCGCCACGGGCGAGTTGCGCATCTGCATCAGGAAGCTCCGGTCGTAGATGATGCGAGAGCCTGCGACACACGGGCAGTTTCGTTAGCACGGAATGTACTCTACGGGAGGAGTAGAGAGCCTAGATTTCAGAGAGGGAGCCACTCAAACCACGGAGAGCATCTAAAATTTAATGGCAGCCTCCTGCACAGATTTATCGAAATGATGTTAAAGCTTTAGAAATTCGCACCGGCCTACCGTAAAGATCCTGCCGTGCAGCGGTGCTTCATTTATTATACAATCACATATATTAAAGGGACCATGAAACAATTTTAGACCAAATTTTACTGACTGCATATTGTTCGTGGATTAAAAAGAAAACTAGCACGTGAGATAAGAAAAATTAAATCTTAACTTTTGGCATTAAATTTTGGCCAATAAAAGCGACTATATTTTACACTCTCTCCCTCGAACGCTCGCAACGAAGCTGAGCGTATGAACTGTGGAATAATAAAGGAGTTGTGGCAAAACTTTTTGTGTAATGGGGAGCAGCTTGCACAACCTAGCAAAAGTAACCGCAACATCCACAGTGGCAAAGTAATTTTTTCCCTTTTTCTGAGCACATCAGTCGAATTTAGCTTCCCTATTGGATGCGAGTTGTGCGTAACTCAAACTGTGCTCACAAACGATGAAATCGTCGACATATACCCTCGACGGAAATGCCCGAGTTCAACACCCAGTTGCATAAGTCACAGTGTCAACGAGAGCATGAGAGGTTCCTCCACGAGCAATTCCATTAGGAATTTATATTACTTTTGTCTTTAGCGTTTTGTGCTCGCAGTCAAAAGGTGAACCTATCATTCCGTGCCGAGTGAATCGCCACTCCTCCGCGGCCGGTTCCGGCACCAAACTGCTACAGCCTTCGTCGGACGAGTGCTCGTTTTGCCACATGGGCGTGCCGGCGTACGGAGCAAGGCCTATACCTTCACTATACTGAAATATTTTAAGCTGCACTTCACTCAGCTGCAATCTATTTATAGCCATGGCACTGATCGCACAAGCGTAACGGACCAACGAGCCTCATGAAGCAATTGGCGTTTGTGGAAACCTCAGTAGGCGACGTCATTTCGACGTCCTTGTGTCGAAACGTTGATGCAAAAACACTGTTTCGACGCAATGCTTTGCTTAACTGATGTGGCTACTTCGCTCAGCTCGAAGAACTTCCGTTTCTGGTAGAAAGGCATACTTTACATCACAGCCACGTGACTGAACATGTTGGTGGCCGAGTCCGGTCGAGACGAGGAGGAAACAAGACGCAAGCTTTTATCTTTTTTTCTTTTTTTTTTGTGCATAATTGGAGGCAACAAAACGAAAACGCATTTGTGCTCTGGGTTTCATGAACATTAGCGATATTGTCACAGTTTGGCACAAATGGCGCAGCAATCTCATCACTGCCAATCTCGGCCCTACATGGGATCGAAGTAGATCGCTTAGATAGTCCAGTCCACAGGCTTTGAGCTAGGTAAACACCGAGCACTGTGGAAAAGAAGCAGGACAATGTAACCCCTACCCCTAGCCAACATTGTTCGCTACGAAGGAGTGTCACGAAGAACCATCATGCGGATATCACGAAAACATAAATTAATTTAGCATTACTTAATAACCCGGAAATAAATAATTAAGAAAGAGAAACATATGCATCCCATCAGAGGAATTGAACCCACGCCCTCTCGATTTGCAACCAGCTTTTCTACCTCTGCACCAGATGGATGTGAACGAGAGCACTTACAGCTGCTACAATGAGCAAAGTGCATAGGCAGAATTCAAAGTGGAGAGTAAAAAAAAAAATTGAAAAATAAAGTTCTCTCCAACCTGTACCACACGAGGTACAACAGGTTTAAGCCAATTAATAAAAATTAAAAAAGATTGCACTAAGCAATATTACGTCAGAAACTTTTACATAAGCGCAGCTGCGGCAGCGCCGCTCTCGGTGTATTGAGGCGGTTCCGACAAGACAAACAAATGCAGACCGTTCATGGTGTCTGCCAAATTTCTTTTATCAAATTCCTCAACTTTCCCCGAAAGTTTTGCTCGAATCCCCCCACCATTACAAAAGAAATGGGTGAGGATCGGGTTGCACTGGCTGTTTGGGTTATTTTCATCTAACTCGGCGAATCCAGCGATGGCTCACGCTGCACGGCAATGCCTCGGGCAATAGCCACTCAACATGAAGGACGCCCACGCCGTTGAATGTTACACCCTCCAGCTTCATTGCATGTCACTGCGCCGCCCATGTCGGTCGTTTTCCCCGACTTAACCGCTTTTCTGGAGATTCGCCCTGACGATCCCTCGACTTTTCCAGATGCTTTGAAGCTCCCCGACAGTTACAGGTCTTCCAGTCTTCCAGTTCTGAACATGCATCTCGAGCTCAGAAAGCTCACGAATAAACAAACGCCAGATGCAACTCAAAATACACTGCATGTCCCGTCTTTCCCCAATTTGTTCCCGGGAGTAAGATACATTCCCCAGATCTGAACTTGTGCACGAACCATTGGCACTTTCTCGGGCTTCCTTGCAGTCATACTATGTTCCTGCAATATTTCTGAAAAATGTGTTTGTTTCTACTTGTTAAGAAACGTGAAGTGTGATATATTGCTTATTCAGACACTTTCGCGCAATTTTATAAAAAAGATGCAGTGTCCCATTAAAAAGAAAAAGCTAAAGCCTTTATTAAAAAAACTGAGTTAGCTGTGACTTTATATAATTTTTTTTCCTCCCAAGTTCAACTACACACTTAAATTGGGCAGAAGTAAACATGAGCCACTTTTATTTTGTAGCGATTGCCGCAGGAAATGCCAAGAGCGTCATGCCGCCTGTTATCTGTCAAAGATTCCAAAATACAGCATCTATTATCTCCCTCTCTCTCTTTCTCTCTCTCTCTGTGCCAAAGGCATCACGACGGCATCGTTGGCATTTCCGGGAGCCAGCTTAGAGACGGAAGTGTTGCCACATGACGCCGCCGACGATGTCCTTTCCGCTAGTTTTCCTATCTGCTCCCCTATACTCTCGTGTACACAGCGTGCGGCGGTGGGCCAAGCTGTGGCGAATGTAGGTTGCTCCTTCCAATAGCACTGGAAGACAAGGCCTGTCCATTATGTCACCGTTAGGGCATACCCGAGCCACTCCGAGGGGCAAGCGCGCCAAAGCTCCATTTACGAGAGTCGCTGCACGGTGCGCTGGCGGCGACGCTGACAAAAGCTAGGCGGCGCTGCACAGATTCACTAGTGACGACGTTTGGGGAGGAAAGGCCTCATCTTCTAGGTGGTGGTGCACTACTTGTGAAGTCTAAGCAAAACTTAACATACAGACGATTTTGACAATGCCTACGTTCAAGCCTTCACACTTTCTAGATGTAAAAAATCCTCATCAGCCTGTCTTTAAACGAAAGTCTGGACGACACGGAGGATATCTCAAGATTTTCCAGGTGGCTGCATTCTCCGTTTACAAAAACATTTTGTCGCAAAATAGAAAGGCAATCGCCGAAACCACAACTAATGATGATACAACGTTTCAGCCAAATTAAACGCAGTCATCTATGGAAGTCTGAAATGTTACGCGGACGTTTCCGCCTTCTTCCAACGTGCAGGCGGTGCAGACACCGAGCAACGACCAACCATCAATCTTTATGTCTTCGCAGTGACCAGGCATAGGGCCAATTTAATGAATGCAAAAAGAGGACAGCAAGCATACCGACGCTACAACAATGCCGATTTTCATCCGGCGTTCGCTTATGGTCTCCAGCATCGCAAATGTTGAAGGAAGTACTACAATGGTTTTGGTCTGCTAGACACCTTAAACACTCATTTCACAAGGAATCCTGATAAAAATGCCTAGCACTGCGGGTTTCACTCGATTTAGCACCGAATAACGGTTAAGTGTCGAGCTTGTTGGTAGTGATCTTTATTAGTGCAATAGGTTTATTTATGTAATAGGTTTATCATGCTCAACTTTGGACTCTAAATAGGAAAAACTTTACACTAATACACCGTTGGTAGTCGGCTGTTTGTCCTTTCCTGTCCTTCCTTTCTTCGTGTTCAAGTTTAATTCTAAAGTCCAAGCTGACATATTTAAGAGTTAGTACCGAAGATTTTTCTCTTTACTTCACTAAAGTTCAATACCTTATTGCACGTGGTTTTTAGCTCCAACTTCTGCTGTTGTTTCTTTCTCTCTCTCTCTCTCTCATCTCATTGCTTTTTTCTCGCTGCCCCTCCTCCTTTTTTCTTTTTCTTCCTTCCCCAGCCCCGGAACTGGCCATCCTGTTATGCTTCCTCTTCGCATCTCTTCTTGCAACACTCACACACAAAACAACTCGGTGTGGTTCTGAATTATCCGAGCGCACAATGTGCTACCACATGTTCTAGACCAAAATATTTGCTAAAATTCCTTATGGTAAATTATGCGGAGAGCAAGTCGTCTGCTTCTAGTACGGGAGTTGCGGGGACATCAGAACAATGCAAAGCTCAACGTCATTTTTTTTAAAAATTAGCTAATAAGGGCTTGGCATCCTGACATCGCTGCAAACCCTCAGCAAGAAGCAGGCGAACTTGCACTCTGCATGGCCATTTTTTTCCTCATGTGTATATTCAGTATTAAGGCTGGTTTAAACATACTGTGCAGCGCTAAGACAACACTAAGAACAGCACTGACTTGAACCTAACTAAACACTGGTAAAGCACTTGTACCATCAGGGCTTAAAGTCTGGGGGGTCTCAAGGGGTCTCGGACCCCCCACTGATTTTAACGGATGGTCTAAGGCCCCCCTCCACAGCCCCAGCATAAGTGAAATCAAAAGCATATCTTGCAATAAAATAGCTAAAATAACTAAAATTTAAATTGTATTTTTTTATACACTAATTTTTTTTTTTTTTGCAAAATCAATTCAGAAGGTGGCAATTATTACGATCGAAAAAACGAGTGGCAAGAAAAAATAATAAATTTGGCTTTTATACCCGATTTTGCTAAAATAAATGCCACAGCGGCCCTTGACATGATTTGATGGTTTCACACGAGATTAGCCCGTAGGA